CTTAAGTTAGCAATTGTTGACTTTCCTTGCGTATAGAATATAAAACTGAATATGAATGTATGGGTGTTTCAGGTACTAGCTGTGCCCGCGACTTCCTCCGCGTGGTTTAGTTATTTACGGCACCAAGACAATTATATTCACAAAATACCCTTATTCGACAATCCATTTATTTATTTGGATAACGATTAATATTATTATGTTGATAAAATTGACACAACTGAAGCCCTGAATTAATAATTTCCCTCGTTTTTGCCACGTTTTCCAACATTTCTTCGCTCCTATTAGTCGTGGTGTTATATAGCCTAAAACCTTCTCGATAAATAGTCCTTTCAACACAAAAATATTTTTATAATATGAACCAGTAGTTTCTGACATTATGGCGTTTAAAAAAAGAAACAAATACTTGGTAAATATAATATTAATGAAGAGATTTACCCCTCTCTACATGTAATAGAGGTATGGCGACTAACTTACCTATTATTTTTACCGACTTAATGGTGTTTTATGGTTTTATACATAGCAAACTACTACTATACTATTATACATTACTATATAATACATTTGCTCAATCAAGTTTCTAAGTCCCGAACCACTGTCCACAGATAAAAAGCCGTAAAGATAAAATTAGTTTCAGTTTCAAATTTCAAATGTTTGTTCTTTAAATATCCAAAGCAAATATAGATCGACAGTGCATCTTAATTAGGTGTTAGGTATAAGGCGTAACCCATCCATCATGAGAACACCAAGCTTGCCCGTCGATCTCTGTCAAGAAAAAACTAGTTTTCAGCTGACTTCCTGATATTTCCCCAATTTTGTCCCTCACACCTTGGGTAGTGAACCGATTTCGATAATTTTTTTTGCGTGAAGGTCAGGAAGGATCGCAGTTTTTGTAGCCCGCTAAAATTCTTTAGATAATTATTGCTGCGTATAACACTAACATAATATTGTTTTTGAATTATTCAGTTTATTATTTTTGTTGCTTCTATACTGATTTATCGACATTACATCAGGTTGAAAACGATTCAAATTTTCGACTCGGGCAGGACTTGAATCGGCATCATCGGCGTTCCTTGCTGCTGGTGTGCACAAACCTAACTATCTAGCAGCTAGCTACACCTAATCTATATAGTGCCATCATGTGCAATAAAACGTAAAAAAACTTTTCAGACATTATCTCAAATATATTTGCAGGGGCAACAAACAATTTGCGTATTCCTTTGTTTATACAGACGTTGGCAATTATACAAAGGATCTGGGGCCTAACAAGAGGTCACTCGTCGCGCAGTCGAAATCGGTAAGCAAGTACCTACTTTGAGCCAAGTGTATCGACTCCAACCTTATTAAACTTATCTACATAAAACTGAAGAGTGTCTCGGTCAAAGGTTATCGGCAATTATTTTAGAGGACACTGCATACGAATCGGTAACATAAAACTTAGTTTCAAATTTTTGCCAATACGAGCTTTCGCCCGCGACTTTGTCTGATAAATAATTTTAAATTTAATAAAAAACTGGAGTCCGCTACTACTACTAAAAACTAGCGGGGTAGGGATCTAGAAAAAGCGTCGTCCTTGGGAACCCTACAAATAAGTTTTTTTTTAAATTTACGTATTTTTTTATCGTAGCTGTACTTATTCGTTTACACGGTACAGATTAAAAACAATTATTCAAAAATGGTCATTTCGCAACTACTAAACGCAGTTTTAAAAATAGAAGATTTATGTCCTACACCGAAAAATGTAGTCTTTTGTTTTTAACGTTTAACTGTTTATAAGTTACCTACAAGAATCAATGATTTTTTACTTTGATTTCTGTAATGGGAGACATTAAAGGTAATGTCTAACTAACGAGCTCTCTACTAATATTATGGAATTTAATTTAAAAAAAGTAACAATATACTCGCTCCATGTACATATTTAAAATTAGCATGCAAACGGATAAGATTATTTTATAATACTTTTATCTAGTCCTTCTTAATACATCAGTCTTTGCTTTTACTGATTCGATTAATGTACAGACAAATTACTTTTATTTTATTTTTACTATATAGATGCGCTATAAAACTCAACAAAGCGTAGGTAGTTTGTAGGTGGGTCATGAAAGGCTGTGATGTGAACTTTGTCTATGAATTTGTTAATATGTATTAGGAAAATAATAACAGTCTATTCTAGAGCCAAAAATCGCTAAGCATATTATATTATAATGTTATTATGTACCTATACTTGGTTATTATATTTTTTACTTTAAGAATAATGTGGTGTTGCCACAATTAACAAAACCCTTTTTACGGTTTGAAACGCGAAATGTTTAAGTTAAACTAACGGTGTAACACGAACTCTCCACTACTGTATAGCATCCGAAACGGTAGTTACATATAATATCCATATATTAAAGTTTAGTTAAAGGTTGTTTTATATAATAATGTTGGCGTTTAACTTAGGTATGAAGATGATTTTTCAAAGCAAAGTAAATCAACTCAACGCAGACGACGCCGCAGTAAAAGGTCACACTATATCTTAAAACTATCGAAGACGAAGCGGATCCACGAATCTAGCAGGCTACGACAACGCGTCAAGTTCATGATCGTTACATAATTAACATCACGGAACTACACAAAATAATGTTATTATGAAATGATAAAAGTTATTTTAAATTTATGTATGTAAGCTGTGTCAGCGACTTTGTCCGCGTATAATGGAGATTTTGGGCGGCAACATTTGTTTTTGCAGAACTCATTTTCGTTCAACTGTCGTTCTTGCAACTTAATTTTAAAACATATAAAGTCTCGGACATTTTTTTAGATCATGTAAAGAGAAATCATTCTTTAGTATATATTTTTTGGGTCTTGAACCGTTTTCGCAGCGTACGCTACGGAAACTCGCAAAGGTGAATAATTTTCCCCGTTTTTGTTTGTTTTCGTTGTCTGGTAAGACATGGAAGACTTTCTCTTGTCAAGAGTGGGTACTCTCGTTTGAGTATATTTGTTACCTAATAGCATTGATTAGAATTATCTATACTAATATATAAAGCTGAAGAGTTTGTTAGTTTGTTTGAACGCGCTAATCTAGGGAACTAAGGGTTTGAATTGAAAAACTATTTGTGTTGGTTAGAGCATTTATTGAGGAAGGTTATATATAACACATTGCGATGTGACTGATAGGAGCGAAGATACAGCGAGAAATGTGAACAAAACGGAAGAAATTTTTCATCTCTGTAGGTTTCAGATGCGTACGCTGCGAAAACGGTTCAAGATACCTATAAAATGTGTATGACAGAATGATTCACCTTTAAATGATCTAGAAAAAAGTCCGTGACGCTATTACGTCACGGATAATTGAGACAAATGTCTATCTTTTAAGATTGACTTGCAAGAACGACCTGAACGACGAGACGCGTACGATGGGATAGAAATATCGTGGGTAACAGCTATCTATAATATTATAAAGAGGAATGATTAGTATTTTTGTATGTAACGGATAAACTCAAAAAGTACTGGACCGATTTTAATATTTATTTTTTTATAAGAAAGCTACATTATCACTGAGTAACATACCGGCTATACTTAGTATTATATTACGATAGAAATGTTTTTATTAAAACCAACGGAAGGTGTCAAAAAATTAGCCATAAAATGTCTTTCATCGCATACGCTGAGAAGAGATGATAGGACAAAAAAATCTACGACAATATTATAGAATATATCAATATCTACAAAAAACATCGCAATACCATATGTCTAACTATTGTAGTTACTTGACTATAACTACTTTTTTACTTTTAACATATTGATAGAAATGCCGAACAAAGTCAAACCGTGATTACTATACCTTTTATAAATTTTAATTTAAATAAATTATAGATTTTGATAATAATATAAATGCGAAAGTAACTCTGTCTGTCTGTCCGGCTTTAACTCCGAAACTACTGCACTGATTTTAATGAAATTTGGTACATGGATATTTTAGAGCCTGAGAAAGGACACAAATGCCAAAAAAGGGTTGAAAAGGGGATACAAGGTTCCCGGCACCCTTGGCATTTTTAATGCCAAATAGGGGGTTGAAAAAGGAGATGAATATATATGATGTATAGAAGATGTATAGAAATTCGTGGTTTTTGAAGCTAGAACAATGAAACTTTCTTCTTTGGTTTTTGGGAATAGAAGTTAGAGTAGGAGTGATGTGAGGTGAGAGTGTTGCGGCAAAGTTGCACATTCCACATAGATTGGCTGCCCTAAATGCGCCCTTACATAAATTAATAAACAGCCTAAATAATTAGAAATTCTACCCCAAGTCACTATTCCACGCGGACGAAGTCGTGGGCACAGCTAGTAGAAAATAATTTGGAAATTAAGTTTTGAGTGTACAACGTAAATTTTTTAATATTTAAAAACCACCTAATTTAAACACATTCAACGATTTAAAACGCGAAATGTATTAGTTAAACTTCTTTACACTAAACAACCAGAATGATGTTTGAAAATTTTATTATTTTTTACATGTTATTGTGCACAAGAAGGCACTATATTATTTTAAAAAAAATTTCGACTCGGGCAAGATTTGAACCGGCATCGTCAAAAAATCATAAAAAATCGACGAGGAAAAGGACTCGGTAGCTCCATTGGTAAAGCAACAGCACGGAACACTGACGATGCCGGTTCAAGTCCCGCCCGAGTCGAAAATTGTTTTCAATTTATTTTCGATTTTTAAACCAGAATACTTCTTGGTTTTGTGGGATTTTCTATTAAATACTGTCTGCACAAGTCATAAAACTGAGTCATTTTCATTGTTCATTGGCATTATTATTGAATTTTTTGGGCCCAAACTTCAAAATCACTATAACCTGTCCGTACGTACACTACGCAATAGGTACTTACCGTGGGTGCTACTAAGCCAAATACAAGCTTAATCTCTTATATACCAGAATATCACTTTAATCTTGAATAAAACTCAAATATGCAGATGTAATGTTATTCTTAAAAAAAACTATAACAATACTACTTTATTATTTTAAATCTACATTTAAGCCCACATTGTTGTGTTCAAACAATTTACCAAACAGTGAACTGTACAACTCGTTAGTACTCTCATCATTCCATTTTGTTGATTTCTCCGGTGCCATATAACTGATTAATTGATTATGTACTACATATTTTATTTTCCTTCCCTTCGTTGCTTTAGTGTCTACCTTCCGTTTCATTTTACTCCTCATTTGCTGTAAAGATATCCATTGCCGACTCAATTGTACTGGATCTGTGATATCAGCTGATTTACATTCAATAAGTTCCCTCAGAAGCTGATGATAAAAATCACTATCATCAAATATCTCAGATATGTATTCGTCATCATCTTTCCTACTCTTGATAGGATTTATTTCTGAATCATTCGCTGTGGGTTCTTCTTTTTTTAAACCAATAATTTCATACTCTGAACGCTTCAATTGAGTTCTCTTTATTAGTTTTTGTCTATCTGACAGTATATATGAAATCTGTTGAAGAATGGTATTTGTTGGAGCGTTCCTTATGTTTGTAGCTGTTGCTAGTCGGGTCTTTTCATTCCATTTCTGTATAGTAGTATCTCTAAATGTTTTTAATTGCTTATGGCAGGTGGCTATGTCATTTTCGTAATCTTCAAGCTTACGTTTCCTCTTTGACTTCCGTATTTGTGTCTCTGGCTTTTTATTATCTTTTGTCGTATCTTCCCCATCTGTCTCAGATGGAATTTCTTCATTGTCTGTATCACTTGGTATCTCTTCGTCACTCTCTTCTTTATTAAGTTTGCTAATACTTTGTTTACCATTTAAAGACAATGATTTAGTTTCTGGGAAGTTTTGTAGCAGTGCATTTTGAAGGGCTAAAAACCTGAAACAAAAAGTATATGATTACATATAAAACAAATAGTAAAATGTTTTATAAAAATATTGTGACATATTTTTTTATGTACTTACTTATCCAAAAGGCCTGTAACATTACTGATAGCATTTGTACTTTCGTCAACAAAAACATTACTTTTTTTCATATCTTCATATGTATCTTTGAGGGGCATCATATTAGCTCCATTCATACATCTTTGTAAATGTATTCTCATCTCCAACAGTCCTTCCCATAGCAGTAATTGATTTCTGACACATATGCCCTTTTTAGCTTCTTCAGATATGTCTTGTTTCTTTATGTGTTCAAAGTTCTCTTTTATGGGTTCCTCTAGCTGGCTTATATCATAACCTTCTCCCTGATCATCATCAACATCTGAACCGCTTTCACTGTCAGAGTTTTCTGAATCACTCTGTAGTTGTTTTTGGAACTTTGATATGCTATAGTCATCACTTTCAACGTCTTCATCTGACTCAGCCACTGATTCTTCATCGGCATTGTCGATAACACTATCATCGCCGGAATCCGAATGTTCGTCAGAACTCTCACGCAAGTCTTTCTTAGAAACAATTTGTCCCTCATACTTTTTACTTATATCACTAAGTAAATTTATATTTTGCTTTCGAAAATCACTAATCGTAGCCTCATCCTCATCCGAAGAACTATAATCTGCACGCGATACAGTACTTGGTTTTGTATTGAAAATATGATCATCTTCGATATCCGCTCTAGGTTTTACTGTAAGAGCGTCAGCAATTTTGTCCGACAAAGTATGTTTCGAGGGTTTCTTTTGTTTGAATTTCATTTTTAAATTTTACTTTAAATTCAAAACTTAAAAATAAGTTAGAAACTAGAATATTATGGTAAAGTAAAACGTGCTGATGACAATTTACCTTAGAGTTTTTTTTTTTCATTTGTGGCAAGAAGAATTAACTATTTGCCAGTGTCAAGTTAAAAATACCTTAGAGTTATTCTAATTGACAACAGGCAAATGGCAGCAGAGCTATAATATATTATATAGTTTATAAAGAAGTTTAAATTTAATTTTAAATTATATTTAAACTAGCACTGTAACTTATTTTCGTTTTTATAACATACTTATTCGGTACTATTTTACATTTACGTTTTATCATTATCTTTTAATATTTTTTATTTAATTATATTATCTTGGAACTTCTTAACTTTATCTATGGTAGAAAACAATTTTAGCGCGAATTATGACAGCTGAAAAAGTAACTTGTAGCAAGGGAGGATTTAATTTATACCACAGAAATTAAGAAAAAACAAAACAATTGAAAATTGATTAAGCATTAATTTATCTGTAAAAGAATAGGTTTTCTAAAAATATTACATTGTCGGTAGTAAGAATGTCTAAACGACGACCAACTTCTAAGGCTGTAACTTGGTTGAGCGGAGAAGTATTTAATGAAAACAATGTCTCAAATACGTTTCATTATTTTAGGTAAATAATGAATAGAAGCTAAACATACTGTACGATTTACTTACATGTAAATTGATTTTTTGATGATGTTTTCTTTTTAGTAAGTTCCAATTCAAAGATATTATTGCTGAGGTAGGCGACTATGTCTTAGTATCAAATGCTGACTCCGCAGAGCCGGATACCGAAGAAGGCTGCGACGCGGCGAAAATTCTTGCACTGTATGAGGATCATTACAATAAACATGACCCCTTTAGGGCAAAAGTGCAGTGGTACTCGAAAGTAAATGATTTGCCAAAGAAAAATTTGAATAATAAGGAGCAATTAGACTTTTTAGATAAAGAAGTAAGTAAATATGTTATTCGTTCTCACATTTATTTACGTATCCTTGTATTTTATCAGTTTAAATATATATTTGAATTACGTTCAATGATGTTATAAATTGACAGGTAGTTGAAGACCATCGGCCATTTAACACCAATGTTTCCATAGAAACATTTTACAAAAGGTGCTACATTAATTTTGTTCTAACCAAAGACACAGCTAGAGATTTGACTATATCACCTTACCATTATATTTGTCGTTATAGACTTGTAAGTATTACTAAGAGAAAGATTGCCTTAGAACCAGTTCTAGAGGAAGAACGAAAGGCTTTAGATCTATTGGTTACCCCTAAGAAGAACACAACACCCAAAACACCAAGTAGTTTAGTTAAGAGAATGGGTAGGGTATCAATTTCTGATAGAAATTGGAGTGTTAGCAAAAACGATGGAACAAAGCTCTTACTCAAAAGAGCAATACTATCAGACATCAATGATAAGGAGCTTCCGAAAGCTCCAGCAGCACCAAATGTTACTGAAACACCTAAAAGTGCAAAGAAAATAAATAATAAGTTTGAAGAAATTATATCTATGGAATTGAAGGAGAATTCTGATGATGAACTACCAACACTTATAATCAGACAACATATTCAAACAACACCGAAACGTAAGACACCAGCTCGTAAACCTAGCCTATCCGAGACACCTAAGAAAACATTACTCTTTGAGGAGGAAAAAGAATACTCTACAAGATCAGGAAGAAAAATAAAGCTCCCTGCTACATATTGTGAGCCGGAAGTCTCACCTGTGAAAAGGACTCCACATAGAAATCGTAAAGTTTCAGAAACTAGTGATGACTTTGAAATGACACCTAGAACCCTGCGTACACCTAGGACTCCCAGGGTTCCTAAGACGCCTAAAACACCAAGGAGCTCCTTTGCAAGAACTCCAGCCAGTGTTAAGAGGATTCTAACAAGTGAACTAACTCCTACACTCCATTCTCGAGCTCATAGTCTTGACAATATTAATGGTACAAACATTTTACCAATTATATTATTATTTATATCTATAATCTTTTTGAAAACTAAAGTTTTCAAAAAGATTATAGATATAAATATTAAAAATTCAAGTTGATGGTTTGCAGTCAATTCAATGATTCTTCAAGAGATTGAAAATTTGTTTAAAAGTTACAATTTCTTGATTATTTGCAGAATTCACAAATGATTGCCGATCCTTGCCTGGTAGAGAGAAGCAGTTAGATGAGATAATGTCATTTGTTAAAACAAAACTATCGGATAGTGTTAGTGGGTAAGCGTACTTTTCTGATAATGAATAGAATTAAAATTAGCGACTTCGTCCGCGTACAATAGTTATTTTCGGCATCAAAATTTGTGTTTGCAAAGCTCATGTTCAAGTCTATTTAAGCTGTTACCCACGACGCCGTCAGCATCCTGTCGTTCTGGCAAGTTAATCTTAAAAGATATAACGTCGTGGATATTTTTAAGGAAACCGTTTTTTCCAACATTTCGCGCTGATTCTTCGCTCTGATTAGCTACTAGCTTTATAGCCAACCTCGATAAATGCTTTGACCAACACAAAAATAATTTTTCACTACGAGTTCCTGTGCGCATTCAAACAAACAAACTCTTTAGTAAATTGTGTAAGGCTTTCACGGCCATCGTTCAGCAGATCATTGTCTTTTGGGCTGTTCGGCCGATGTGAGCGAGAAGAGGTTCTTCTCTTCGAGTAATAGTTTTTTTTTATATTAGGAAAGATTACCAATACAGTGTTATGTAAAATATTTTTTATTTCAGGTGTATGTACATATCTGGAGTACCTGGAACCGGCAAAACAGCCACAGTTAATACAGCCTTAAAGATCCTCAAAGAAGACATAGACCTTCCCGACTTTCAGCTCGTTGAAGTAAATGGAATGAGAATTGCAGAGCCCCGACAAGCCTATGTACAAATTTATAAACAGTTAACTGGTATGCTTTTAAAAGTTTCTGTTTAATTTTTATTGGATAATTCTTGAGTTTTACATTTTATTTTAGATCTGCAGCAAAAAATTACAGTTTTACACAACTAACACATGTTTTAATCTGTTTAAAAGGGCTATTTAATCTATACTGCATAATATGGTAACTACAATTGGTTAGAGCAACAGCACGGAATGCTGTGGATGCAGGTTGGAGTCCTATCCGTGTCGTACATTTTTTTATCTGTATTCGTTTTTTTTACTTATATAGTCCCCTCGTGAACATGTGAAAAATATTAAAGATTTAGAACTACAATAAAAAAATGCTTAATTTTAAAAGTATATGTTATCACCTATACCTATAGTAAAGTTAGAATTATTGAGTGTTATATAATTTTGTAAACCGACTTTAATTTGTTGTATATTTTTTTCAAAGGTAAAGCAGTGGTATGGGAACAAGCTTGTACGCTCTTAGAAAAACGGTTCACAAAGCCCGGTCCTCGAAGAGTACCTACTGTCTTGGTTGTGGATGAGGTAAGTCTTTGTTTTCTTCTAAGCAACCTTAACTAAACAACTAACTTAAATTTTCACAGGCGTCACTTCAATTAATAGAATTGAATAAAACAATAACGCTTTAAAACGCGAAATATATTACTTTAACTTATTAAGAATTATTTTAATTCGTGCCGACATTTTTCAAATCAAATGTATTCTGCTCGCGTAAAATACAGACAGTATTTATTTAATAAATATACATATTATTAATCTATGTAATGCATGATAATACATTTTTCAAACATTAAACTTAATTAATTTACGTAATTTAATCAACAATCATTTTCTTATGCTGCAAACCATAGGACATTAAGACAAGTAAGTGGTTAGGTTAAAATTAAATTATTTAAGAGTACTCAATCGGTTAAAGAACTAGCTGTGCCCGCGACTTCGTCCGCATGTAATAGTGAATTGGGTAGAAATTTTAATTAAAAATTTGGGCTGTTTATTAATTTATGTTAAGGGCGCATTTAAGGCAGCCAATCTATGGTAAGTGCAACTTTGCCACAACACTCTCACCTCACATCACTCCTACTCTAACTCCCACTCTCACTTCCACTCCTATTCCCAAAAAGCTAAATAAGAAAGTTTCATTGTTCTAGCTTCAATACCCACGAATTTCCATACAAACCTTGCATCCCTTTTTTCAACCCCTATCAACCCTTTTTTGGCTTTAAAAAGTAGCCTATGTCCCTATTTTCAAAATATCTGTGTACCAAATTTAATTTAAATCAGTTCAATAGTTTCGGAGTTAAAGCCGTACAGACAGACAGAGTTACTTTCGCATATATAATATTAGTATAGATTACTTTATATTTAAAAATTTATAACTTGGCCGGATTCAAACCTCAACTGATAGCTAATTTGAAATTAATTTTCAATTCCTATTTTTTTTTTCCAGTTAGACGCACTATGCAATAGAAGGCAAGACGTGTTGTATAGTATAATGGAATGGGCAGCCCATAACTCAGCGCTGCTGACCGTTCTAGCTGTAGCCAACACTATGGACTTGCCAGAACGAGCTCTTGCAGCCAGAGTTGCATCCAGGCTAGGTCTGACCAGGCTCACCTTTCCACCGTACACTCACACCCAGCTCCAGTGTATTGTGGCTACTAAGCTAGCCGGAGCCAATGTTACACCTGATGCTATTCAATTGATATCTAGGTATTTATGTTTGATTTGTTTATTATAATGAATGAAGTGAAGATAAATTATCTTCACGGCTTCCATATGTTTCATGACCAGTACGAATTTATAATTGCTTCCAACTATGTATTAATATACTGATATAACTGACAAGTATGATACAGTAATTTGTGTTACATGCAGAATGTGCAGTTTTTACCAAATATAAATGTTTTTACATTGGTTTATTTGAATACTGCCTGGTAGTTTACGCGAGTAGTACACCTTGAACGATGATTTTCATGCATAAAACAAAGGTTGTATTTTTCAAAGCGCACGTATGTATACTACGTTTTATAACATATTTACGAGGAAATGCGACATTTTCAAATAAAAACAATACACGAAAAAAAAGCGCGCGGAATTATGCTCTTGTCCACAAATAAGCATGCGCGCGATCACGGGTTTTTTAGGCAAAGGTACAAAACAGCCAGTATCTAATAAAGTAAATAATATCTTTGTCTTTTGTTATAGATAAATGGTTGTAATTTATTGTCAAAATTAATTAAATTAAAGAATTAAATGTTTATTTGTTATATTTTATTTCCCAAGTTAATTTTATTCATAAAATATTCACCACTTTCTTGACATAAAACCTCTTTGCTAAGAAAAAGAACCGTGCCTTTTACAATAACATTATCGCACAAGTACGTAATGAGATACATTACGTATTGAAATTGGTGTAATTACATCCACTTTACAGGCAATATATATTATAAAACAATTTTCAAATAAGTTGAACTAATATATATCGCGTTTTAAATCGTTGAAGTGTTTTATTTAAACATGTATATTGGGTAAAAAACTGCACACACATTCTGCACGTTTTACAAAATGGGCGTATTGGTAATACAAACAACATAGGTTTGTATTATTTAGACAAGACCAGAAAAAGCAGCTAATAGGTAGAACTAAAGACTTTTACTGGCCGTATTTTCTTTATAAAAAGGTACTTGGTACTATTGTATTAAACACCTTGACTAACTTTATCAAGATCGATCTAGCCGTTTGGACGTTAGTATGTAACTCCTATTTATTACTTGGTTCCAGAAAGGTAGCCGCTGTTTCTGGAGACGCGCGACGTGCGCTTGCGTTATGTACTAGGGCATTGGAAATAGCGGGCGACAAGCAAGCCGGTCTTCTTGAAGTGCAGCAGGCTCTAGGCGAAGCAGCGTCGAGTGCTGCTGTTAGAGCAATCCGGAATTGCTCGGCTGCTGAAAGGCTTATGTTGAGGGCTGTGGCCGCTGAGGTAAGGACACATTGTGTATTTTTTCTAACTTGGCAAAAGACCGCAACAAATATGGCCGACTTCAAACCATAGAGAACACATTTTATAAAGTACAGCCGATGCCACAGATGACACAGGGATAAAGAAATATCGATTATATATGGAACAAACTACCATAATATTAAAAATATCTTAAATTTTTTTATATCATTATTATTTAACTCGATGTTTGTAACTGTGGATGGTACTTTTGACTTCTATTGTCGTTGACTTTGCTTAAAAGTCCATCCTTATCTAAATGTCAAAGTAAAGAAACTTTTATCTATTCATTTACCTAAATTCATTTTTACATTTTTTAGAATTGTTTGCCCCGTTTGTTTGTTAGTCCAGTATAATATAATTTGGTTTTCTATTTTTTGTATGACGATCTTTCAGGTAGAGCGAACAGGATCAGATGAAACAACACTATCTCGAGCTCTCGCAACAGCGGCTGCGATAGTAGCTCTAGACGGACGTCCATACAAATGTGCAGCAAACATCCGCGCCCCCACCCCAACTCAGGCGCAGACTATATGTTCTAGATTAGCAGCCTTAAAGTTATTGCTGCTAGAACCAAAGCCATCTGAACCCCGGCTGCTATTAAATGTCAGCGCAGATGATGTCCATTATGCTACTAAGCAAATTACTGTATAATCTGTGGAAATAGTTACAGATTATATTTGAAGTAATTCATACAATGACCATAAACAATAAGTTTGGAATCTGATCTGAAGTGACCTAAGTCTACTAGTCGCTTCGGAATTATTTGTTATTTTTATAAGGAGCTGCTTGTCAATTTTTCGATTTTAATTCGTTTTGTAGGATACTGAGTGTTGTAATGTATATGGCATACCAGTGTTTAGTAAATAGCATACTTGGGACCCTGTTGATCCGAGGAAAATATCAAAGACAACAAGTTTAAAATTGTTATTAATGTGCCTTAAATAAAGTTAAATTGAGGCCGCTAGAGACAAAGTAGCCTAACTACAATTAGATGACTTCAGTTATTTATATTTTCATAGTCGTAAAAGTATTAATCTACAAGAGCACAGTGACTCAAAATTCTGAAACATAATTTTTACACAAATAATAGTCCAAATTCATTTTTACTTTCCTCCATATTGAAACATGTTTCTTATTATTAGGCCACTCTGCCTCTATCAGCCTTATTTAAAAGTCTGAAAAAACTTCAAGATTTATTATCTAAATACAATGGTTGTTTTGTTGACTTTTACTTTAAGGAGTGACTGAATAAAATTATTATATTTTCCTAAATAAATTGTTATGTATCTCCCACCTGCAATATTTTTATCAAGGCTTCAACGTTGTTGTCCTGTACTGCTTTTCGACAAGCCAGTACCACTGCCTTGCTATGTTTCCCAACTGAAATACAAATTAAAAATAATATATATCAATATATATTAGTTAAACTTATTTGAAAATTATTTTTTTTCTTCGGCCCGACGTTTCAGATGCTTTGCAGCAGCCATGGTCACGGAGATTCGAGGAGGTCACGGTTGCTGCAAAGCATCCGAAACGTCGGGACGAAGTTAAAAATAATTTTCAAATAAGTTTAACTAATATATCGCGTTTTAAACCGTTAAAATGTTTTATTTAAATGTGTACTACTCGCGTAAACTATAGACAGTATATATTCGATTTTCAAAAAGTACTTCGTATATCGTATGTATTTATAAAGTTTACCTCGAAGTCTAGCTGCTTGTTGAAGGATGGTATGTAAGTTCTGAAGTGACGCGACAGTTTGCGCCTGCGACGCTCTTCTAACATGGCAACCCAGTAACAGCTCCTCATTGAGTTGCATCACGTCTTTATAGCGATTGAGCATCTCTTTTCTACGGAAGGATTAAAAATAAAAAAAAAACACAATGTTTTTACTTTAAATGTACTTAGCCGGCCACGTCGAAGGACCGCCAAGGGCATTGCAAAGTTTTTTGTTTTTTAAAATGTTGTCATTAATTTTATTTTTGTACAGTTGTAGGATTAAAGAGAGTAATTAGTGCTTTAAGGACAGTATCCAGAATAGTCTGGTGAACTAATAACTCGTGTGTGACACGGGAAACTCCTCGTGACACTAAGTATATAATTTTAAATCGAGAAATTGAAAAAAGAAATATTATTCGGGCAGGGCTAAATTTCTTTGCTCTATTGATTACTTCCTACGGCGAAAAACTTCGACTTATATAGTGTCATCTTCTCGTTTTCAAATCCTCGTGTCGTTTAAATGTTTCTATTGTTCTTGCGAACCCTAATTACACCGACACCCACTCCTATACCACTGTCACTGTTAAATATCGACGATTATAATAATTATCTTGTATGTCTGTTGACAGATCAATTTATTTTGTATGCTGACGCTAAGTATGGGCCATACAGATGAATTTTATCTTCGTTTTCCAGGATTCGAACCCGGTAAACAACTGCGCCCCAAAAGCAATCGATAGTAACCTACAACACTAGATATGGGTGTTGAAAAACATACAAATCATAGGATGTCGCGTCAATAGCGGCTGGAAGTAGAGCAGTTAAAAGTTGAGCTTTCTCAGCACTTTCAGCAGCCAAACGGAATCGAGTTTCTCCCGCTTCAGCTGCATTTAACATCTCTGTTCTAAGTAGATCTTCCGACTTAGGGAAGTGGGCGGTAGACTACAATAAAAAGGATTAAATTTAAAATTAGCATAATCAGCTTTAATGTCTGATTATGACTAAATGGTAATAATTAACTACTATCTGAACAAATATTGTGTTGTCTACCGAATATATAGTCTCGAAGCATTGCGGTTGATATTGTATAAAATTAAGGGTATCTCTAATTTTATTTATAGACATGTCAATGTAGCCTTGTGATAGATAGAATTCGCAAGATTAATAGTAAAAATACAACTTCAAAAAACATAAACCCATAATACAATATATTACATGTCTTTTTGTTAGATATAGCGTAGTATCGGTACTTAACTTGTGCCTAGTGGATATAAGATCTGTGGTCATATGTACGATGGGTAAGTTTATTTCTATACTCTGTTATCAATAGTAAGTGTCAATTGTCATGAATTAAATACGCATTGATGTCAGTAGCGTCGGTATTCATCTAACGAAAAGCAAAAACCTCTGTAAAAATGGTCGAAAACAATGAAATGGAACTTTCTGAAGCCGAAGCAGAACAATATGATCGCCAAATACGATTGTGGGGACTCGAATCTCAGAAAAGATTGCGCGCTTCAAAAGTACTCGTGATCGGCTTATCCGGTCTTGGCGCTGAAATTGCTAAGAACACTATTCTTTCTGGAGTAAAGAGTGTATGCCTACAGGATAACGAGAAATTGAGAGAAACTGATCAGTATTCTCAATTCCTGGCGCCACCTGATAAGTTAGGGACGAACAGAGCTGAAGCATCGTTAGCGAGAGCAAAAGCACTCAATCCTATGGTCGAAGTGACAACAGAAACAAAGGGAGTTGATGAGCTTCCCGACAGCTTTTTCACAGAATTTGACATAGTTTGTGCTACAGGCTTAAAACAAGAACAATTAGAACGTATCAACAACGCTTGCAGAGATTGCAATAAGAAATTCCTTTGCGGCGATGTATGGGGAATGTTTGGTTACATGTTCAGTGATTTAGTGGATCATGAGTACTCTGAGGAGATAGTACAACACAAGGCTGTCAAACGGGGAGCTGAGGACGATGAAAAGAATGCCCGCGAAACTGTGACAATAAACGTCAAACGTCGAGCAATATATGTTCCACTACAAAACGCCTTATCCGCTGATTGGTTCAAACCTGAATTACGGTCGAGATTACGTCGCGGTGACCCTTCTTACTTCGTTATGAAAATTTTACTACGTTTTCGAGACGAATATAATCGGAATCCCGATCCAGCCAAACGAAAGGCGGACACAGAAATTATATTCCGAATGAGAGACGAGTTAGTGAAAGAGCTTAACCTTCCTGCTGGTTTTGTGAGCGATGCAATTTTGACTGATGTTTTTGGTATTGTATCTGGTGCTGCTGCAGTCATGGGAGGTGTCATTGGTCAAGAAATTGTTAAAGCTGTTAGCCAACGAGAACCACCACACAATAACATGTTCTTCTTTAATCCAGTCAAGTGTGTCGGTTTTGTAGAATTGTATGGTCAATGATTATATAGAACAAACAATTTCTATGTAAATGCTAAGTAATAAATCTTAAGTTATATATAATCTGCATTTTATTGTATCTTAAACTATTTGCATTACAATTTCAAAGTTGCTCATTTATAATAATTTAAGAATAATTTTATATAATATAATTTTAGTATAAAGAAAACACATACCTGTAAATCAGTAAGATTCAAGAATAGAGCCAAACTCTGTATTAGATCCCCCGCCAGTCTAATATCATCAGTTTTAAATTTCACTTGACCATCTGTACTGAATTCTAAGTCCAATTGAGTTCTATCTCGTAGACAAAAAAAGCTCAAATGTAAATCTTGAACTTCATTTTCCAACTCAATTTTTTCATCAAGAAGAAAATTCTGGTTCACCCAAATGTATATTCTTTGAAGTCTTTCTGTTATACGGAACGTCACATTTCCAGGAGTAATGTTTTTTATTGTAGAATCTGTTAGTTTGTACATTGAAAATCTGGGGAGATGTTTTGTGAGCTCAAAAATATGGAACTGTTCGCTGTCAGCGTAACCAACTAGAGCCTATAAAAATGTTTTTATGTTACATAACAAGTAATACCATACAATTAATTCAAAAATACATACCTTTATGTGTACATCTATAGGGACATCTTTCGGTGGTGTCAATGGTATAAAAAGAACAGGCTTTAGCTGTCCTTGCGGTGGGTGTTTCGCTAGAGTTTCACCTGTCTCAAATACACCCTCAGCTAAGATGAGAGCTGCTCGAACTATTGTTTCATTGTTAGTCGATATCGCAAGCTGGATACAACCCTTAGGAAGTAATAAATTCACAATTTTGAACTGCTGATCAAAAATTTTTACGCAAGAAAAAGTGACATCCCGTTTCCCGTCGTGGGGCATGGGGCGAACACATTTTTCTTTTCTGTGCCTTGCTCCACAAAAGCCTTAAATCTTTAGTAGTTTCAAGTTTACTGTTTAATTTTAATATTTTACAAAATAGATATAATAAAAAACTATACTTTATGAGGTCTAAATTTACTCTTCACTAGCTGTACCGACTTCAGCCATGTTTGATATTTTTTTTAAATTAATTTCTGTCAAATTTAAATTCTATCCACTGTTTTTTCGCTCCTATTGGTCGCTGAGTCATGTTTTATAGCGTATATAAAGCCGAACCAGTAGTTCCTGAGTTTAGCGCGTTCAAACAAACAAACAAACTCTTCAGTCTTATTATATTAGTATAGATGCATGAAAATAATAATAATTACTTCTTCAGTATTAGTTGTAATAGCAACTTGTAGCCGTGTATTAGTTGGCATGGCTGACGAGGGTCGATGACCGATGTCGAAGGTGGAATTTTCCGATGTTGAGTTCGCCTCATAATGCTGCAACTCTACCATAAGAGCTTGCTTCTTATTCATTAATTCCGTGATGGCGAGGCGATCTTCTTCGGACGCGAATTTCTTAGGCGCGTTAAAACCAGTGGTATCTTGATGCGGAGGGTAGCCCAAAACTGTAAGTTTCAAAATGAACTTATCTACATGCTCTTTATATAAATGTAAAACTTAAAATTGACTCTATCTTAAAATCGAGATAGACTAGCTATGCCTGGGACTTCATCCGCGTGGGTTAGTCATTTTTGGCATCATATTATTTATTTTTGCAAATAACATCGTCGTCTTTATAGATATATAGCCATGACATCGTCCGCGTCCAGTTAATTTGCTAGTTAATCTTAAAAGATAGAAACATACTGACGGGGATTTTTTAGACCATATAAAGAATTCTCTTTTTTTATCTATTTTGACTTCTTAAACCGTGTTCGCAGTGCGCGAATAACTTTCCTCGTTTAACGTCCTATATTTGCAGCATAATGTTATAAAGCATAGCAAGTCTTCCTCAATAAATGGTCCAACCATCACAAAAAGAGTTCGACCCAATAGTTCCTGAGATTAGCACGTTCAAGCATACTCTTCAACTTTATTAGTATAAATTAGAATCATAATATGCATTTTAACTATATACTTCGTACCTTCACCTCTGTCCGACACGCAAACTAAATCTGGTACTCCAACAGACCGATAATCAGCTAGCAACATGCCAGCAGCGTTTGATCGAAGCTGAACTCTTTTCACTACCCTCCCAGAGCTGTCTCGCCAATCAATCCGTCCATTGGTCCAGCAACATGCCAGCCAATCACCTGACCATTGTAAAGATATTACATTTTGTTTTGACTGAAAAAAAAATTATGGAATTATTGTTATGTTTCCGAAAATTCAAAAACTTTATTTAAATTTAAACCCAACTTATTATTATACATTGCTTATTAATATACTGAATTCTAGTAATCTGTGTAGCTATGTTAATTAGAACTACTCGTAAATGTTGAAGTTTAACAAAAGATTGGTTTACGACTCCAATAACTCTTAGGGGCCATTCTTTATTACGTAAGACAATTTTCCCCGCTATGTTTTTTACCCCCCCCTTTTTTTATAAAAAAATAAGAATGGGACGTCCCCCTTCCCCCATTTAAATATATATTACGTAAGAAAGGAAAAAGGATTTAGAAATTTTTTTTAGATATCTATTATTTATTTATTTTCTTAAAAAGGTGGGAAATATTTTTTTTTTTTTTTTTTTATAAAATGGTTTTTAACTGTTCATCATTGGTTTAAAAACGTTTACTCTCTACTAATTCTCTTAAGGGCTCTACACTTAATAATATAATTTGAATACTGCGTTATTTATAACTTAGCAATTTCGCTAATTTTTTTGATAACTGCATGACCTCTAGTGATGGCCAAATGTCGTGAACCATTCCGTAATTAGGACGCCGTAAAGCTAAACTAGCCGTTCAAATTACAAGCATTTCATAATAAGTTGTTACCTTTACTCTCCACAGGCGCAGGCCTTCTTCATAAACGCCTATTGTCCCATTAGCCAGGCCGTACGCAAATCTCACATCAGATATTGGGGATAAACAGAGAACGGGCCCGGTTTCAGCAAGCTCTATTATAAATTGGTTATTCTTTAACACTCTGATAACTGAGTCTTCGCATCCAACTATTAACTGCAAATTTCAAATTAAATATAATATTAATTTTAGTAGGCGTATTAAATAATAACGATATATGAGCTAGCTAGAGGCAGAGTGGCCTAATAACCAAAAACGTGATTTTCAATAAGGAGGACAATAAAAATGCACAATTAACTTAGGCGAAAGTTAATTAATTGTACTATTTTTTGTGTAAGAATTATGTTAACAATTTTCGGTCACTGTGCTTTTGTAGATTGACATTTTAAAACTTTGAAAATATGAATAATTCAACTCATAAAATTGCTAGTAGGCTAACCTGCCTCTAGAGTCTAGCGGATGAGGCCGTAAATAATAATATCTCACAATTTACCTCATTTTCACCATCTTTATCGAAATCGAATGGGATAATCGCAGCCACCTTTCCGCTAACGACATTCCAAAAGACCTCTTCCCTCTTACCATTTAGACCTATTAAGGAGCTGTTTCCTCCAACTATAGCCAATATATCAGTATTCTTTCCGACTTTTCCTGTTGTAATAACGTTAACTCCATCTGGTGCTTCTTTGAAAAACAAGTCTGAGTTATCGTGGACATCGTAAGCTGTAAAAATTATAAATTAATAAGTAAACGGTTTTGGTGTGAAAAAGTGACTAACATCCATGTTTACAAGCTCTTGAGTTAAATAAAATTATTCTTGAAAAAAAAAACGTTTAGTAGTAACGACCCGAAAAGTATTATCTATAAACGAAGTCTTTTTACTGATTCAAAGGCACTACTTTTATAGACAACACTTCATCAACGATATGAGGTAAATAAGTTTTTAGAGAGCGGGGTCTTGGCGGGCCTAAGCCCATGATTATGGCCATAAAAAAAAAACTTACTGACCATAAAACTAACATATAATTATTTTATACATCAGAAGGATAGTCAAGCATGGAGTTTACTCGATGTGATGTGACGAAGTGACTCCAACCATATACCTAACATCTAACATGATGTCGATCTATTTCTGGGTTTAAGCGTTGGATATTCAATTTATTTGAAAATATATACCCAATATCTGAGTAGGAGAACCAATAAGCAATATGTCCCTCGTACAGTCCTCCTTAAGTGGGGCAGCAGCTAGGGCGATAATAGCCTGGCTCAGGTTGAGCTCTGAAACTTCTGCATGGGCGTCAGACCGCTGCGCACGACCGCCAACGACACCATGCGGATGGTGAATTATTACCTAAAACAATCCTTCATGGATTTTATTTGATGTGGATGGTGGCGAGATTTTTTGCCAAAAGTTCTCGTTCATTCCACGCCCTTGATTCGAGAACGGGTAGTAAATTAAAATTTCGAGTTTTCTTTATTTTCAATATAATTTTTGATTATATTTTTTTGTATATACATACTTTGCCGAAGTGAATAAAATTTGTATCGATTTAAAACACAAAATAAATTATTTTGTAGGGTTATTACTTATTTTTCCCAGATCGTAGTTAAAATCCATCGACTATTTTAGTATTTCGCCTTTAAATACTAATAGTATCTTACGTGTATGCAGTAAACTAAAGACAATACATACTTTGTCGTATCCTGCAGATGCAGTTAGACACGGATGTGTTCCGTCATACTTAGCTATAATAACAATCCTTGGCGTCACCTTATGACTTAGTTCTAGCTTAAATATCGGTTGGACTGTTGAAATTTGCATTTTTACTTAAAATCTTTAAAGGAGCAATGTGTATCAAAACGTATTTTGCTGCGTTACCATGGAAACCGTAGTACCTACTTGTATCTTACTAATATTATGACCAAGAGTAAAGAATTAGGTCAATACTCCGATCAGCTGCATGTGAGAGTAGGCCCTTAAACGTGCCCAAAAAAATTTTGATACCGGCCTAGATTTAATTAGATGCGTGAAAAATATGCAATTTAATATAAGAAAAACTAAGGCAGTACTTGAGAATACTTAACGACTCAAGAAGTTACAAACTTTCGTGCAAAGTTGGAAGGCAACATAATATTATTATTCATTTAAGCTATATGAAATATATGAATTCATTCCATGAATCTTCCTCGGATTTGTCCTTTCAATCATTATATACATGATTTAATTTATTATACATATTATTTAAATTTTAATGTTAATAAGTTAATAACCATTACTATACACTTCTATTAGTGGATAGTCTATAAAGACACGACTTTTTTGCGTAATCTGTAGAGGCGTTCTTTGAAAAAGGTATAAAAATCACAGATAATGATGATGACAAGAAACACAGAAGCCGAAAAATTGCAGCGCAATTTGTCTTGTCATCTGTCATTTATCGCTAAATTTCATTACTCTGCAGTTTACAGTTGTTGAGTGTCGTCTAGAAATATCAAATAAGTCAAAGTTCTCAAAATACATAATTTATTTCGCAAAATCTCCGTGTCGGTTATAGTTGGATGTGTATTTAGTTCTACGCCATATCACTACCTGTTTTAAAGCTAAACGTTCAAATCATTAGTGTTATGGTTTCTGAAAGTTAAAATTCAAACAAATGGGTAGTGAATTAAATATTGCCACTACAAACTCCAGGTATGAGTACAAGAATATTTTGAAATATTTCATGTGCGTGCATTTATTGCATAATATTATGTTAATTTATTAAATTATTTATGGGAGCGTATAAAGTTGACAATTATCTATTAAACCTCTTTCTAGATGCGCAAGAATATTTTAAAAGCCATTTAATTGCTATGTTACGTTTTCTCATCTTTTTCTACAATATTTGGGATCACTTTGTCATTTCACCGCTAATTCATATCATATTCATGATACCAAAGAGAATTTAAAAATAATGGGTTGGATTCAACTTTAGTTATATATATTATTTTATACATATTTTAAAATTAATCTAGAAGTGTCTTGCATTGTACTGCTCAATGGCTTTTTTTATTTAATTCAAAGGACTTTTGTCCTTTGAATTAAATATATTATATACTATCTCTATATACTACTACTATATACTATCTCTACTACTAGTTGATTTCAATACACTGTGTTTTATGTTCATAATAAACAAAAGAGAGTTAAACATGTTACTTATCTCAGTTGGAAAGTAATAGTCACACTTTTGAGCCTTATCTTAAACTATCCAGTTTATTCACCAAGCAATTTGATATTCACAATATTCCATAATCAACAGATATTATTGAGCTGTATCAATGGGAGTCGAAACGCAAGTTATTTCTTTGTTTTGCATGACTCAGTTGCCTTTATCAAAGGGTTTAATGGTTTTTAATAATCATAAAAGCACCTATTAAAATTAATGTCTACCTTGATACTTATTATTTAAACATGTAAATACATTGTATTACAATTGCTACTCTGTATGAAATAATTCCATTCCATTAGATCTCAATGTAGATACTTTAAATTTCATATATATTCCTTATTGATGTGTTTTTTATGTGTAAATGTTTATGTCTTGCAGTTTTTTAAGCAGAGCATGGATTGGAAATATTTTTTCAATGCTATGGAAGTAAGATATTACCATTATCAATTTATGTATACACAGTAGAGGCCACTAGAGACATAGTAGTCTTACAGCAATTTTATGACTTGAGTTATTTTTATTTTTGTGACCGAAAATTGTTAATATAATTTTTACACAAAGAATAATACAAATTCATTTTTGCCTAAGTTTTCTTCATACTGAAAATCGTGTTTTTTGTTTTTAGGCCACTTTGCCTCTAGCAGCCTCATTATATCTGTTGTGATGGTTTTGATAACCCTTTTTTGCAAATACTAACTTGACTTAACGCTTTTAGTGTTTTGATGCTTAAAAATTTTTGAAAAAGATAAATTAAGTTTATTTTGAGATTAAATTAAATTGTCATAATTTAATTACAGTTGGACTGGGGGATGGCTCAGTTGGACTCAGCAATCTGACACAATGCTGAGGAATGTAGAAAAGACAATACTGTCATGTAAGTGTTTAAAAGGCGACCTTAACTTTAATATGTTTTACAAGCACAGCATTAACACCCTAATAGTTCCCATAGCTGGGAACTAGACCTCCAATATACTAAATGCAGTTGTCCATGTATTCTTAGATTTTGGTAATTGATAACAATTCCTAAAACTATTGTCCGACATAGCAACACTGCATTAATCTTTAGAAAAATTAATTCTATGCGTGAGTTTTTGCATATCTTGTCTCTATTGTACTTTATATTTGTATGTGTCAACAATATGGTATAATTTTATATCTGTTACATACTACTTAGCTCTTATTGAATTTTAAATTTTGACACACAATCAAAATAAACAATAATCTATGTATATAAACGAATTTGATTGCATTTACAATGTTCATTGTTTTTTGTACATGAAACTATGACTCATAAATTCTATTTATAATAGGATAAACGGTCGATTTAGGAAACTTCAAAGAGATATAGAATTACTATTAATTTTTATTGTAACATTTATCAAAGGCCAGGTGGATATGTCAACACAATCGGCTAATTTATTCACTGTAACCTTTGACTTTCTCCGAAATTTTACAAAGCTTGGGTTTTCCAGCTGTAGTCGAGAAAACCGCAACATGTCTTGTTTTAAATAAAACACTTTAACGGTTTAAAACGCGATATATCTACTAAAGTACTTTTAAATGTGTACTACTCGCGTTAATTACACACAGTATTTAACATCCCTTAATGTCATAAGAGTCATCCCTGAATGTTCAATTAAATATTGACTAAGCTCAAACTCGCGAGGACAAAAAGCTGTTAACAATTCTTAATTACAACAGCTCGAAAACCACTCTGTGGTGGAAGCTAAGGTGTCTCAGTCAGACTCCTTAAGCAAATTCTGTACATTTTGTTCTAACTTAACTTCTTTAATTTCTGTTCTAGTATCAGTTAGATGGGGGGAGTAAAAGTATGAAAGTTTTCCTCAGCACCAAACAGCGCTATCTCATAGATTGTGACGTTCCTAACGACGCAGAAACACTCAAATAATTCGCGATCTTATCATTACCAATGTTATTCGTATCTCGTAACCTTGACTTAGTAATTGGCGTTACGGTTCCGGTAACCGGTCGCGATCAGTAAAAGGCCGTGATAATGACGCGTTGTATTTTTTTCTTCAAGTTTATGTCAATAAACAGTTGCATAATGTTGATCTTTTATTGCATCTTCTTATATACTATACTTATATAATTCTCGTGTGACATAAATCCTATCCTCCTCTCAAAAAAACGTGCTAACGGCAACGATAAATATGAAATACTGTATCCATCTAGCTTATATAGACAAACTTGATTGAATGCAATACCCCTAACCTATGGCATCTAATAAAGATGTGCTATCGACTTATTTTGGCTTTCGACATATGTTATTTTCGATGACTACCGAGTGTGAATGAGTTTTTGGTCGAGTATTGGAAAAATATAAAATATTCGAGCTAATTAGTTGTAGAGTTAATTCTAAACTATCTTCATTTAATTTCAGGTGTAAAAACAGTGTATAAAAGATTTTATGTAGACATTGGGTCTGTTGTGGGTCAATGCGACAAAATATGGACGATCTCGTTAAACGACGAAGCGCCTCAAACTCCGCTCGTGATGCTTCACGGAATGGGCGCAGGAGTCGCCCTCTGGTGTCCAAACCTGGATGCCTTAGCTGCCACTAGGCCCGTTTACGCTATAGATTTATTGGGTAAGACATGTCTAATCTGACAATAATATTTACTTAGAAGGGCGAAAAATATAAGGAACTCAGTTAGTTTTTAATTATATTGCTGACTTACTGATACTTACGTTAATTTTGTTTAGATATTAGTCAGGTTGAGAATATGTTTAAACTTTTTTTACCTCTTTCGCCAATATCCTCGAATACAATTAATTAAAAATAATAAAATATTTTTCCGCAATTTATGGCAAAAAAGCATATAATTTGGATGTTCGACCTTCGACCGCAGCGTTAGTCCCTATGAGACAAGAGTAAAGGTTAACATTGAGATTGTTTTTTTTTTATATTGTAATATATGAAAAATAAATTATATTCATTTTTTAGGATTCGGTCGCAGCTCACGTCCCAAATTCTCATCAGACGCCGAAAAGGTTGAAGCTCAATGGGTGGAGTCCGTTGAAGAGTGGAGAAGGGAAGTCAAACTGAACCATTTTGTGTTACTCGGGCACAGCCTCGGTGGTTTCATTGCTACTGCGTACGCGCTTAAATATCCAGAACGGTAAGAATTATGTATTACTTGAACTTTTTAAATAGTAAAAAAATGGGTCCTATGATAGAAGATAATCTCATAGAATATTTTAGGATATAGGTCAGGTAAGCATAGGGTGATGATAGGGTGATGAGCATGATGCGTTATCGACCTATTTTGGCTCCGGCAAATTAATATTGTTTTGGCTAATTTAAATTGAGCAAGCACAAACAGAATATTTAACAAATTGTTAAAGCACTGAACTATATCCTATGTGCATAGGAAATGAAATGCATTTATAATAATGATGGATAAATTGATTAAATAACATTATAATGATTGATAGACAGAGCCGAGTCCATAACTATAGCAAACATAGTGCAAAATAAAGAAATCATATATAGGTACTTAATACATTTAAACAAGGGGACATATTTTTTACATTAATTTTCTAATATAAATAGTGTAATAATGTTTTTGAAACCTTACAGAGTCCGACACTTAATCCTAGCTGATCCATGGGGCTTCCCCGAGAAACCCGCGAATGTTTACGAAAAATATCAACTGCCGTTCTGGGTTCGCGCTGTGGCAACGGCCTTGCAACCGTTGAATCCGCTGTGGGCGGTTCGAGCAGCTGGTCCAGCTGGGAAGTGGCTGGTCTCCAAGACCCGACCCGATATTTCAAGGAAGTTTATGAACTACGTACCGGATGCACAGACCGTTATACCGGAGTACTTGTATCAGTGCAATTCGCAAACGCCCAGGTGAGATACAGTATTGGGCGGGTTCCGATTTCCACAGTCAATATATAATTTTATTTTTGGGTAATATAGATTCTCAGAATCTATTTATTATATTTTGGGAACTTGTTAGATTTCATTTGGAAAATCTATATTTTAAATGTTTGGTAGGTATATCATAATTCCATAATGTAAAGTGGAATTTTAGTTTTAATGTGTACATTTAACATAAATATATAAGTTAAAATATGTCAGCACTAGCACTAGTATATGTCTGGGGGTATCATACATTCCATCAAGTGTACCCCTCCTATATTCTAAAATTGTCAAAGAACATAAGAGCCCAAAGTCGTACCCATACAAAACAAAAAAAAACAAATACTAATTTTACATTTACTAATAGATAAAACCAAAGAGTTTTTTTATTTGTTTGAACTCACTAATCTCAGAAACTACTGATTTGAGTTGAAAATTTATTTTTGTGGGTTAGAGCATTAGTCGAGGAAGGCTAAAAAACATCTTGCCAATAAGAGCGAAGAAAGAGCAAGAAATGTGACAAATGCGACGCGGACGAAGTCGCGGGCACAACGAGTAATGGATAAATTGCTCAATTTCTCTGTCGTAAATATAAACAGCTGCCTTTATTTTTCAGTGGCGAAAGTGCATTCCACACTCTGATGCATGGCTTCGGTTGGGCTAAGAACCCAATGGTTCGCAGAGTGGACAAGATACATCCAGATCTACCCGTCACTGTGTTGTACGGTTCACGCTCGTGGGTGGATAACAGTACTGGACAGCTTCTCACCGAACATAGACCTAACTCTACTACTTATGTACAGGTAGACACCATATAATTATTTTACACCTTAAAAGCCGAACTTAGAACGAATAGGACAAGACATTTTGTCTTTAGTTATTTTACTAATTCTCAAGATGCTTATAGAGTAGTTGAATTTATTCTCTCTCGAATATGGGGCTTGGGGCTAAGTTTGTAATCAGCCTTTTTCTACTTATATAGTGTGTTTGAATTCAGGATACATCATGCAAAATTAACGCGTTTCTCAGGAGTATAGCTCGGTAGACATATTTTCCACCCAGGTCACGAACCACCGTCCACTAATGGAAAAACTTTTAAGTGGAAATCTATATATCATTTTCAATTTGTTTATTAAATACTGTCTATAGATTACGCGAGTAAACTAAAACATTTAAATAAAACACTTTAACGGTTTAAAACGCGATATATTAGTTAAACTTATTTGACGATGATTTTTAAACATTTAACGGTTTTGTTTAAATCTGTTTATTTCAAAATGTCTATAGGCAAAATCGGTCAACACTACTACTACTTACACATATTTTTTAGATGTTATGGGGCTGGGGTGTTTTACCTTTAAAACCTAATTTGCAAGCATTTTTATTTCTAAGCAAAAATCTTATACAGCAAAAGCTATATGTGTACGTTTGTTTTTTTAGGTAATTAACGGCGCCGGGCATCACATATATTTAGACAAGCCAGATCTATTCAACAAATATGTAATCGAAGCCTGCGCACGCGCCGACGAAGACACGTCGTTCACGACACGGAACTATGAAAATACAGAAGCACCTAAAGACACGAATCCACCGCAAAAATCTGATGGAGATACGTTAACGAGTGACAATACAATACCAAAACAGACACAAAATTCAACTCAAGCGCAAACGTCCTGATAGCAGGCATATTTAAGCTAAGCTTAAATTAAAACTCATATGACGTAATACAATGCCTTATAGCTTAATTAATATATTTATTTAATATTAATTTTTGCACGCACATTTTTAACGTTACCTAACATAAAAAAATCGTGCGGAGTTACAAAACTTAGTTAAGTCTTATAAGATGTTTGTGATGAAAATTTTATTTAGCAGGCCTAAGCTCGCTTTGTTATATCACAAAATTAAAATACGCTTATGAAGTGAGAACGGGCTTTTTCCTTTTATTAAAGTTAACTTATTGAAATGGGAGATTTTATTTTAGTATTAGAGATATTTTCTTTGTCATGGATACAAACTATGACACCTTTGGTTAAACATTACCGTCATTCTTTAACATTGTTATTTAAAATCATGTTTTAGTTTAATCACTGTTACCTGACTTCACTGGTTTTATGTAATAATATATTTAAAATAAACAATTTTTTTTGTTTTCTTTATATAACTGCCCAGGCCTATCTAGTGATAATCCGGCGAATATATAAGATGGATAGAAACAAAAAAATAAATAAACATCTGTGGACGCTGGTTCATGCTCTGGATGGAATTTGGTTATACCTATCACCCATTTAATTTGCTGACGAAGTCCAACACGTTTCACATAATTATAAATTGTTGAATATTTTGGACTCAACCAGTTATTGAGTCCAAAATATTCAACAATTATTAATAAACGATATCACAAATTTGGTGGGGGTAGTTTTTAAAACACACTTTGTATGTAACACACTTTAATACTATTCTGAATGTATTGACAATATCACTAATTGTACTTAATCACGTCTGTTTAATCTCACAAAGTGCACTGGTGGTCCCATTGGTGTTTGCATCACGTATCACTCCAAAGAACATCATCGGTTCCTTTGATCACAATTAAATAATCCTGATATGCGTAGAACTGACTACCGTCACTTTTCCTTCGTCCTGTAAATCTCGTAATGCTTCGTCCAGCTGTTCGCGTGTGACAGTCTGCGAAAAGAATATAAAAATTTAATCAACTTTCTTGTATAACTCGTATTGAACAATAGCTGACGTGGTTTTTTTAGTAATTATGCAAAATGTTCTACATTTTTTATGATGGTGGAGGTCAGGCAAGGATGGTAGGGTTAACTTGATGAAAGGGAGGGAGGGGGGGGTATACCCCAGCCATATAAAATTAAATTAATTTTCGCGACCTATTTTGGAGTTAGATATCCAGAAATTCACAGACTGAAACCGAAACGCGATTAAACATCACTGCTTTTCACTTGTGGACGATGGTACGTGATACGGACGGAATTTCAATATTCCTACCCCCCCATTTAATATCCAGACAAACAAACATTTTCAGAAAAAATACAAATTGATTTGAAACATGACAGACCTGGTGGGGTTCGAACCCACGACTTGTTGATTATTAGTCATAAATTACTTCCAAAGAATGTATTATGTATACATAATTTTGAAGTTATTTATGACTTTTTGTTCTTTTACGAGTCACAAACACTGGTTACATTTTATTTATGGTATTAAAATTATTGCGTTTTACTTACAATTTGAGAAGCGGTATTGATTCGTTGCAATAATTTTGCGTGCGTGAGGGTAGTTGGTCGTGTTAGCGGCTCGATGCTCTCTTTAACAGCTGCGACCAGATCAGCTCGACGACGTCGTGCGGCAGCGCCAAGTCCAGTTGTGAGGATACCCACGTCGATACGACCCGACGCTGGGTCTGTTGCTGATTGTTTGAGCGCTTCCCGGTGTAAACTGCAATATATTTCACATGACATTGCATATATTGGAAATATATAACATAACATTTAAGATTGTAAAAAAATTGCGACAAGGGCAGAATTTTCCATCAGGGGTGGGGAGGGGTGTAACTGTCCCCATTGCCCTAAAATCTATACAATATTTTGCAAAACGCGTCCTAACTCTCCCCCCCCCATGATCTTTCCAATCGTAAAAACCAATCAATTGTAGTATTTATACATACCGTGCTGCTTCGTCAACATCCTTGATATCAACAACGGACGAAAGTCGCACTTTCGCGTGGGCTTCTGCTAACCGAATTAGAGATTCCAGTTGACGTGGGTAGGCAGATATTTGGCCTCGCCCGCTTCCAACACGCCTGTAATATAAAAGTACCTTCAGATAATGATTGCAACATACATGTCCTTTCTTAAGAGGCCGGGAGTTCGATTCTCCGTAGTGTACCAACAGCTTTATAAACACATACACATACGCTCTCAGAAAACCATTGTCGGACGGATCCAAATTATACATTAGGGCTTATATAACCTGTGTGCAGTTTGCGCGAGTAGTAACATTTAAATAAAACAAACTTTAACGGTTTAAAACGCAATGTATTTTAGTAACTAATATTAGAATTATTTGGAAATTATTTTGTATGCGTATGCATCGCGTTTACGGATAAACCGTTAGTGTTTTATTTAAAAGCTTATATAACCTATTAGTGAGCCCAAATCCCAGCAGTGGAAGCAGTTAAAGGGCTAATGACATATTCCCTGATAAAATACACTGAACGTTTACCTCATATCAACGTAAGCGTCGATAAGCCTTTGTTGTGCCGCCTCGCTGAGTGTAGGGTGTACATGTTCTTTAGCGAAAGCCAAGTAGTCGCGCATCAAACTCATGCCCTGAAACATTATTTATTTACAAATAAAATGATACAATAATAAAGCAATAGACGTTGTCTGTCTGTACATATAATATCAATAACTGAGTTAATGATTTAAGGTGACAGAAAAAAATATCTCATATTAACCCTATCCTGTACGTATAAGCTAAATACCGTACTGTACAGTTTTAAATAAATGCAGTTAGGCCAAAATACAGGTTGTTGCATTGAATTAGATGCTATTAAAATGAATAGGGATTTAATAAATAAAATTACATTGACAACACGGTTAATTTCTTAAAACTGACTTAACAACGGTGTACATGTTTTAATATAAATAAACCGTTTGATAAAAAATTTCGATTAACTTAATTTTAATAATATTCATATTACTGCTTATTTGTACTGCTGCAAGTGATGTTCCCACACAGACGAAGTTACAGAAAATAACTGACTGAGATAACATGGACTTTTCTGTATTTCGTTACTTCCATTATTTTAATTTAAAGGAAATATAAAGTTCGTAAATTGAACTCTTTTTTTTTTAAAATTTTTATTTTTTTTTTTTTTTTAGAACATTAAATTGTCTTCGAAATAATATTGAATAATTAAACTATGATAATATTAATAGGAAAAAATCTCTACATACAACGATATCTTCGTCTTCTTGCGCTTCAGTTGGGTCTTGATAGTAGAGAGATACCAAATGTGAAGCAAGCCGCCGGTCAAAGACTTCATCTTGCGGGTCCAAGACTAAGAATATTAGATCGAATCTGAAATTAATTACTAAAGTAAAGAAATTTTGCAACATCTAAAACAACATACAAATATTTGGTAACTCGTCTCTAGGCCCCGACATTTTCTTTGTAACGAATGAAATTAAAAAAAAGTATTATTCCTGCTTAAATTCCATAGAAAGGTCGGGGAGAAACATTTAATTTTAATATCAGCTCTTCATACCTTGACATCAAGGTGTGTGGTAGCTGCACATTTTCTACTATAGTCTTATTCTTGTTCCACTGGGATTCAGCCGGATTGGCAGCAGCGAGGATGGAAGTGCGAGCGTTAAGTTGACATATTATACCGGCCTTCGCTATTGATAGTGTCTGCTGTTCCATTACCTGAAAATATAAAAAATAGCTACTTTTACACAGAAAATCATATTATAAAAAAAATAACCAATCAAATGATATTGTGTGAAAAGTACTTTTTTATTTATACTAATAATAAAGCGGAAGAGTTTGTTCGTTTCTGTTTGAATGCGCTAATCTCAGGAACTACTGGTTTGAATTGAAAAAATATTTTTGTGTTGGTTAGAGCATTTATCGAGGTAGGCTTATAGCACATCGCAATGTTACTAATAGGAGCAAAGAAACAGCTTAGGCGGTTTCTAATCTTTAGAGGAAACTTATAAATAAAGATTAAATAAAAAGAATATATAAAATATGTGTTATATGTATGCTGAATATTAGTTGAAATCATCAGAAAGGTCGTGTAAGATCAGTTTCAAGGCCTAGGTGTTTTATTTATAAGGATTAGAGTACCTCGTGAAGAACGCTACGCGTTGAATCATTCATCTTGTCGAACTCATCAATGCAACAGATTCCGTTATCAGCCAGCACCAAAGCGCCTCTGAAATAATAGTTTTACTTTTATCGTTCAATCGATCAAAAAATCAGTGTTGCCAACACAACATTTTTTTATAAAAAGTTCATATTTTATTTATATATTGGTCTACCTTAAATTACATTTATAATATACACATTTATAGAGTAAGTGACACATGCATTTAATAATTATTGGCAAACACATCGTTTATCATAAGAGAGGTCCTAGTGTCGAATCCCAGGCAAACTTAATTCTTTAGAGTAAAGCGATTTAACATAAAATTCGATCAGAGAAGGCACAGAAATGTAATGTCGAAACTTCGAGAAACATTTTTGAATAACAGCTCGAAAATGGCCGCAAAGTAACTTAACAAAATGGCCGCCAAAGCCAAATTACAAATGTTAGTATTAATTTGTATAAGGCTTTCACGGCCTTAGTTCGGTATATTATTGTTTTTAATTATTACTATTATTATTTATTAAGATAATTTTTAGTAACTAACGTCTGCAATATAAGTTGGCGAGTATCTGGGTCCTTAGTCACATAAGCGGTTAGACCCACAGCAGAAGAACCTCGCCCCGAAGTGTATTGGGCTCGTGGTACCAGCGAATGCACCCAACGTAACAGCTGAGACTTACTAGTTCCAGGGTCACCACATAGAAGTATGTTGATTTCTGATCTATAATAAAATTAATAGAAGGACATTTATGTATTGTGTGTAATTTTAGATATTAAATAAAGCAATTTTGACGGTTTAAAACTTGAAATATATGAGTTAACTTATTTTTATTTTTTGTACGACCCGACAGTTCCCCTTTTCCCCCAATATGATGGGGGGACAGGAGCAAAAGGGAAAGGGAGACGATCATGCTGCAAAGCATTCTAAACAGGTCGAAATTAACTATCACATTTCGCCTGTTAAATCATTAAATGTATTTTATTTACAAGAATAATTTTTAGCTAGGGAGGCTTAAAAAATCTGTATGACGGGCTCGTTGGTGTAATGATCGCAATGTACTAAATGTAATAAAACACTTTAACATTACAAAGCATCCGACGTCAGGCCGTAGTTAAAAATAATTTTCGAACAAGTTTAAGTGCGTAATATTAATATTGCGTTTTAAACAGTTTTAGTGTTTTAATTAAATGTGTACTACTCGCGTAAACTACAGACAATGCTTCTAAACAGTTTTTATTTTTTCTGAAACATGTTAGTTTTCATTAAAATCTAAACATTAAATGGGTGGTGGAGATATAGAAATTGCTTCCGGATCACGAAACATTTCCGAACATCCAAAGATAAAATAGGTCGATAGTGCATCTTGTTTAGTTAGTTTCAGTTGATGTTAGATGAAATTCTTAGGACATTAACCCTGAGAATTATCCCAAGGTTAATGTCCAAGAATGTACTCTATTATAATATACATGTGACATACATTTTATAGTACAGACAAAGCAATATGACATACATGACATATGTCATCTTGGGCCTTAGCCCAGTAATATTACCTGAAATGCGTCCGTCCAGCGGCATTGAAGTTCTTTTTAGTCCCACCCAGCAGTTGAAGTAGTACTCCTTTCTTAATGTCCAAATTCTCGTAGATAGAGGGCGCTATAGCTCTAGCGAGTCTCTCGTAGCAATCCGGTTGCGAAGCCAAGGTTTTGAACATTTCCACGCGCTCCGGTGGAAACTGATGTTCTTTACTGTAACGTGACCAAATTAGGGTTAAATTAAGCACTTTTAACGGTTTAAAACGAAAAACACAGTAAATTGAAATAGTTGCGCACATTAATCTAATCTGATTGCTAAAATAAAACCATACACACACAGTATCTAATTAAATACCGATGTACTGTGTTTGCAACGTCGGCCAGTGTAAAAGAATTCAAACAAGTCCAAATAAAATACATGGTGTTTTAAACCCTTAAAATGTTTTATTTAAACATACATCTATTTTCATTTTGCTTAAAGACTGAGAATTCATATTGAATCGATACAAGTGTCATTTTACGTAAATCGTTTTTAACGTTTGAAACGCGAAATCTATTAATTGAACTTATTTGCAACTACAATCCAACATTACACAAAACTTTAAATAATTTTGATAATATTCAGGTTAAATACTGTCTATAGTTTACGCGAGTAGTACACATTTATGTAAATCACTTTAACGGTTAAAAACGCGATATATTAGTTAAACTTATTGAAATTATTTTTAACTTCGGCCCGACGTTTCGGATGCTTTGCAGCAGTCGTAGTCATGGGGAGATAATTTTTAAAAAGTTTAACTAATATATCGCGTTTTAAACTGTTAAAGTGTTTTATTTAAATATTCAGGTTGTTTGGTCTATATATAATCAATATTTCTTTAATCTGTGTCATCTGTGGCAACAATTTAACTCTCTAAAAGGAAGGTATTTACTTGTATGTTTCTTACTAACCCATCTTCGCAATCATGCAATCTATCCGAATGTGTCTTGCGGTAGTGCAAGGCATCTATGTGTGTACGATGTAGCGCCCGCAACGTCGCGCGCCGAGGATTGACCGACGCGGGCGCAGCTCTGAATACACCGGTCACCGCGACCCTTTCACCAGCGCCTACTCCTTCCACCAGGGCCCCGTGAGCCATCACACTCACTGTAGCTGGGGTGCGACCAGCTGGCATGTCATCTGGAGGTTGAAAGACAAGGTTTTGTAACGTATATAAAGGTTATTAGGGAGTTTATTTTAGGGCTTAGTATTAAAATAGATTACTGAAATTTCATTTTAGAAGGACTCCTAATGACATATATATATGTGTTTAATATAACCTCTCTGAATCATCTTCTCTGTGACACATGCTGCTGCGCTTGAATGGCAATGGTTGATACTCCATTATGTGCACGGTTTACACATTTGATTGGGTAAATTATTTTAATTAGTAAGTCAAACTTTAAAAACATACTTAATATTGTATAAACTTATTATAGCTGTAGTGTAATACTTATTATTATCATTTATTATTGTAAATCTCCATTTTCAAGGTTGCCTGGAAGAAATCGCTTTTTAGCATAAGGCCGCCTTTTCTCGCTACATATTTTTTTTTGTAAACTAGAAGGGTCTTTTGAACTTACACAACATCCTTTCAGTTTCAATATGTGAAAAAAATCTAGTTAAGTGACAGTAAAAATAAATACATACATAATTAGCTGGTGTAATGGCTACACCAGCAACAGCAAACAGAGTTTTATTTAATACAAAATACTTTTAACAGTTTAATGCAGGAATATTTTTATTAATAATAATAAACGTAAGCAGAATCACTTCCCCCCCAAAACCCCCTTTTAAACCCCCTAAAATTTAAAAGTGTTTAATTAACGTGGGATACTTTAAATATAAAAAAAATATTCTCCATATTAAGAATAAGATGTTAATACCTGGGGCTTCTTGAAGCTTAACCAGCTGTTTATCACTGAAGTGAGACCTATTGTGTATCAGCTGGAAGCTGTGTGCTGTATTGCAGTGAGAACAATGCGCTGGTTCAGGAACACGACCACGTTCCAACTCTGCCACAGCAGCTGCCCCACATACAGCACATTTGAAGTACGCTTCCCTCATCTCCGGCACTATTGTGGATGTCCGGATCACCATTCCTGATATTGTTACTAGCTGATCGATATCTGAAATAGTAAATTAAAAATCGATTGTAAGTTGATAAAAAAATATGACACGGGCAGGACTTGAAGCGGCATCCCGTGCTTGTGCTCTAACCAATTGAGCTACAGCGTCCTACGTCCTAAAGAAATAATAAATAACAATGATTTCTTTGTGAAAACCTTACTATGAGACACTAACCTTCATTATGTTACTGCTTCAAAACCAAATTCGTTATAAAATATCCTTTATCACAAAAAAAAACAAATTTCAAGTGACGTCACAAATATATTTATTTATTGCACTAACAGACTAAGTTGATGCGTGAAAATTATAATTTCCTGGAGAATGAGTCTAAAAGGATTTTTAATGTATTTAGTGAAGGAGCCGTGACAATTTTCTCAGGGAGTTGATTCCAGTCTCAGTATATGTAATGAAATTGGGTTGACAAATAGAAAAAAACTCAGTTCAGTAACACCAATGACTGCTCCAGGGCATCCAACCCTACCCATTAAGTGCTTAACAAATGTATGTGATTTAAAGATCGAAAATTTTTCCAACTTATTTTCGATCCTTAAATTATATAGTGCCTTCATGTGCAATAACATGTGAAAAATATTATGTTTTCAAAAGTATGTGTCAGAGAATAGGCAGATAACCGTAACGGGTTATGTAACGAAGCGACTTTACAGTAACAACATCTTTGACGGGCTCGCGTATTGGCGGCAATGTATGGATAATCAACGGGTTGCCAGTTCATTCCTTACGGAGACATACAATCTTCAAATCAATTTATAATTTTTCTAAAACATGTATTCAGATTTCCAGACAAAGTCCTTAGACTCTGATAGAGATCTGGATATAAAAAAAAACTGGACGGTAGGCATATGGAAATTCCGACAGCGCATCTGGTTTATATGTTATATGGCTGGTGTATTACACCAACCACCAAGCAAATAATATTTTAATGCCTTATGATATATCTTAAGACATAGGATTACCTTCCGGATTCAAATCTCTCATGTGCCTTTTCGGTGCATTATAAGGGCGTACTTGAATTTGATGCTCTAGTACTGCAGCTGGATATTTTTCAAAAAATAACTCATTTACGGCTGCATCAAATGCTGGGATCACCTGAAAATTTTATTAATCCTTATTGGAATTATACAAATTTTTGGCTTCAATTTAATCACATGAGATTCAAAATTTGGAAACTACAAATTTAATTTTAAAAAATGGCTAAATATTGTGACAAATTATAGCAGAATCGTATTAAGGGTGTGTTTTGTGTAAATAATGTTTTAAGAATTGGAAATGACATAACAAAAATAGGTTGCAACTCCATAAGTATTTTAAAGCAACAGCTAAAGGGTTATTGTAATATAAGCTATTAAGGCTGGACAAAATTTAACGTACAACAAAGTATTGTATAATCATCTCATAAAGTGAGATCTCATTTCCACCAATGATTAGATTATTCCTGAGCCCTGCCCAGCTGAAACAATCTATTGTTTCCTGACATATGAACCCAGGACCAATTGCTCTCAAAGCAATGCTAGGCAACACGTTTAACCATTTAGCTACAGCTCTATGTATTGTATGTACCTAGTAGTACGAATATGTACTAAAGAGAAACACTAAATATGATGTATATAACAGTCAAGCCAAATCCTTTGTTTTATTCAACCACTTATATTCATTCTTAGCTAAAACTCCTATCAACATACCTCTTGTGGATAGCAAACAAACTGTCTATGCAACTTTGAGTCGAATATCCTCACATGTTCACAATCTACCTCAAGGAATGGCTCTTCAAGGGTATGGATCTGAAATTGAATTATATGAAACGTTTATATGCACCATTTTTACTAAATATAAAAAATGTACTAATTAAATACTTATTGAGTGTACTTAAATAATAATCTAAGCCTTATTTTGCTTAAGTGTAAGAGATTGTGGGTTCAATTTGTGGCAAAATATATTTAGTTGGGACTAAAACTTATGCTTATTACATACCACTTGCAGCACACAAGTCTAGAGGGGGAGACACTTTCTTTGTATCTACCCTTCTAGACTTTTCTACCTGGTAATCTAGTCTGCTACTCTACGTAGATGACACATAACATTCCCTATATTTACAAGTGGTTACAGCACATACCTCTTCCAATTTCAGCTCATACAACGGTTCGTTTGTAACAGCAGTGGGCTCGACAAATCTCTGTATAAACTTGATGAATTTCTCTCGACATTCTGCGATAGCTACATCTGTACCCCACACTACCAATTGCGGCTCACTGGTTGCTGTATCAGCACCTGCAGGCTGTTTGACAGAAACATAATAAGTCCTAAACTATATCTAAATAGATATATAATTTTTACTTAATATTTTATATTACCAAACACATACAGCAAAACAATTTTATATTGTAATACATCTAATATAAATCTTGATATAACATTTATTTAGGAAATAATTAGAATATGAAAGTCAACACCAAAAGTTAGTAAAGGAGTTTAGCAACGTTAGTAGAAGTGCTCCGAGGAGTATTACAGAATAGATTACAGCTATTTGCTTTAAATTAAACTTTCTGCTGATATGCATCAAATTTAGATATACATTTTCACTTGTTTTATATCAATCATAAACTAACCTGTGAAGTGGGGGTTGGCACAGGCACATTTGGAGCTAGTTGGTGGCCCCTGAGGTCAGCCCTCTGCCTTGCTGGTGTCATAGCTCCTCTCATCGTTGACCGAGGAGTGCTCAGTGAACTTGGTGTTCCATAGTTTAACGGTGAACTCATCTCAATATCTGTCCCTGTTAAATAGATGTAGCACTATGACAAACTTAAAAAATTAGGACAGAATAATTATTGTTCTATTGGTAGTCTGTGGATTAATAACTATAAAGAGTAATTAAGAAGTGCATAAAAAATTGCTGCTTAGACTATATGTATATGTATACATTGCTTATTCATACATTTTTGTCCAAGCAATACTCAGTACATGGTAATTAAGTCAGTGAAATATAGATACTGAAATTCATCCATTAATGGTTTTCAATTGTATTATACAAATCTATGCTTTTTGAAGGCCAGACCCTTAATATGTCTATGAAGGTTATGTATAGTAATAAAAATTACCAAGAGGACTAGATGGCAGTGCTCTTGCAGGTGAAGTGCCTGGTACATGACGATTGGGAGTCCTTGGAGCACCTCTGGGTGTACCTGGGGCACCATCTACAAAATGCAAATGAACCGAAACAAAAACGAAACATATTAGTAGCTATAGAGAAGGTTTTAGTACAGTCGTTAACCTAAAGGATATGAACCTAATGATCTTCATTACCTTTCGATGGAGTACCAGATGAGCGTTGAGGAGTCTCCGGTACAATAATTTGTTGTGATGAAGCTCTCGTACGTGATGGCGTTGCAGCTTCTGAAGAGGCCCGTGACGAGGGCCTTTTAGACGGAGTAGACATTATAAAACTTGTCTCTTATATTTGTTATTATATAAAACAGAGAGAAATTTAAAAATATAAACAGCTTATCTTTAAAAGTCTCTTTTATTAAGAACTACGGTTTTGTGAATTTCAAGTTTCCAACAAACTTTTGGCGCGAATTATGACGTTTATTTTATTTTTTTCCATTTGTGGCAAGAAGAATTAACTATTTGCCAGTGTCAAGTATTTAATAATTTGTCAGTTCTAACTAATAACAGCTTGTAGGCTGACATTCGTCATATTCACAGATATATAATTTTGAAATATACATTGTCTTATGGCAAAAAATTGCTTTGTTGATGACAAAGCAATTTAAAATAGAATAACAAAAAAATTGCTTTTAATTTTTGATATCATGAAATGCCAGGTTTTATATTTATGTTTGTAAAATAGAATTGTAATAAAAATATGAAACCTCAACCTCTCTTGTTCTTGAAGACCATAGACTCGGCGTTTATTTTTAAATCAATTGATCGTTCATTCACCGCTGTTGTTTTCGTGGTGTTTTATTGATAATAATAAATAAATACACAATTGTTGCGAAATAACACTGCATCGCGATGATTAGCTGTATTTGTGATTAGTGCAATAAAAATAAAGTAGTCAATATCGGGCTTGCTTATAATATTAAGGTTTACTTTGTGCAATCTACCTACATCGTCAGGCATATTTTCGTAAATTATTGCCGTGACTTCGTAATCCATACCTTATTTTCTCAAAGGACATTTTATAAAGGTTAAAGTGTTATGCGCAACACACTGTAGGTACCATCACTTATCCAGACCTCTAAGGACATTGGGTGAGTGTACGACCGTATGTAATTGCTAAGTTATTATAATATGTGAATCATTCCAGCCAACATCCATTATGTAGAAGTAGTGGCCGCGAGAGTAAACAGGAAGACACCAGATTACTTTCATATTATTTGTTGGAATATTTGTTTTACTACATTGTAATTTATACTTTTAACTTTTCCAAATTAATGTTATATGTTAATTTTATAGAAGTTTTAAAAAGTGCTTTACTACACATTAATAAGTTTATTGTGGCCAAAAAGTAAATTTCCATGACATCTATATGATATTGCAATAACTTGCATTGTCATTGACCTCAACATATCTACATACCATACACACAAAGCAAATTTGTGTACAAAACAATGTGTGGTTTAATATTTACTTTGTGAAATGTTGAAATTCATTATTTCTTAAGAAAACATCTATTCATAAAATCGATACTAAGAATCCTGATTGACATGATTTACTGTATATCAACAAGAACAACATTTAACTAACAAATCTATATTGTCCAATGTAAAAACTTTCTTAAAATGCTTTTTTATCTTTCACTTATCATGATAAAACACTAGATTTTTTTTCAACTAATCTATCATCATTCTCTATAAGATATCACTCTTCTACAAATAATGTAGTATACTTTTTATTATATATTAAACTCTTAACCTCCTTTGACCTTATATACTATGGTATCTGCACCTGCTTGTCTTCATAATACAGTATACAAATCTACATAAAACCTTGCAAATAAAAGCTGTAGAGATAGAAATAAGACGGGCAGTCCAATATTTATATATAAGTAATATATTTTTAATAGGTATGTACAACAATCCTGCTTTATGTATATTACTCTAGTAGTTATGTATAATAATTAATTTTGTAATTATTTGATTACATGCAATATTCTGTAAATATACAGATTTGGTTAAACCGATCTCCTAGCATAATTGTCCGAGGAGGCTCCGGGTTGTTGCTAATTTGCTCAGATGATATAATAAATTGTTTTGTTGAGGTTACGCACCATAATTTATTATCAATAGTACGTTTAGTTTGAAATAGACATGGTATCTGCCTGCATAGGTAAGTACATACAATGACAATAATAGCATAACATAACAGGTACTAAGACAAAAACCTTTATATACATTTTATGCTGGCGTTCCAGCAGTTTAATTAAAAACACCATATTTGTGTTTTAAAGCAACATTGTAACTTAAACTTGTTTTTGAATTACCATAAGAAAAGAGCTTAAGAACTTTAATATAAGCTAACGGTTTAAAACATGATATATCAGTAATATATCGCGTTTTAAACCGTTAAAGTGTTTTATTTAAATGTGTACTACTCGCGTAAACTATTGACAGTATTTAATCTTTAGGTTTCAATGTGTGAATTGATCTCCACATTACTATTGAATGAATTTTTATTTATTAAATGTTACAGAAGCAATGTAAGTTTTCTAAAGTAGTTTTTCGTTTTGTGACATAGTAGTAATGTCCAAAGTCCTGGCACCCAATTAATAAACAGATATGTCAGACAAGGTCTAACATGTTGCATATAATTTTTTTTATTGTTTATGGTTATGGAATCAAACCAAAAGCCCTTGATTAGCCCTACATTGTTACCACTACACCAACGACCTCAACAAAATCTTCCTTTAACCTCATGTTTCGAAACCTGTAGTTTCCTAGTATATTAATAATAAAGATCTGGTTACGACCTTTTTTTCCCCGGGCCGGTTCCACCGGTATTGTACGATCGGGTTACTACTTACTACGTGTTTAAATGATCATGCGAAAGTGTCCTCTGTTAAGACCACCGTGAATAAATTTTAAACTATCCGTTTACTTGTTGAAAAGGCTCTAGGCGCATTCGTAGTGTTCTTAGCTAGACTATGGTCGATAAGTTCCGTCCGTCCGTGGGCCGCGTCACATTTCACAGAAGAATAGTGGTGACCCCCACATAACCTATACAACGCAGATGTCGCTATTGTGAGGTTGCAAGTCGGTAGATGGTTAAATGCAGTTACAAATCAATCGATATACCTATGTAGATTTAACTTTAGTAAATGATAGTCCAAAGCGGGTTTCAAAATATGAACGATGTCTTTAGATTACATTTAGAGTATTATTTTTCAATATAAAATATAGTACACATCTATATGGTATTTTATGGAAAATAAAAACTAATATAAAAGTAACGCATCATCGTGTTAATAGTTGAAAAGAAAGTATTGTGACCTGTAGTATACGCGAGTTTGAACCATGAGCCATTTGAACAAAACATTTTTAACAGTTTAAAACGCGAAATATATTAGTTAACTTTTTAATTTATTTATACTTCAGCCCGACGTCCTCCAGAGCCTCGAGCACTGGTGCAAATCACCAGGACTGTGTTAAAATACATAAAAATAAGTTAATGAATATATTTCGACTTTTGGACCGTTAAATGTGTTTTAAATAAGTATTTACGTTTTGTATATATTGCTTTTACACTATATAGAACTCAGATCTGAATATAGTACGCGATCTATCTATAGTACAGTTGGCAACCCAATCTTGGGACATTGCAACACTTTTGTACACGTATAGAGGTCATAGTTTTAGCAACGTGTAAGTATTTACTGGGTAAACAATGTAACTAGGTATACAATTTAATATGTATTATAGTAATCGCGTACCGTTACTTTCTAACTAGCAAGAGCTTTCCAAATCACAAGATTGGCCGCAACTATTACTTTTCCCTTTTAGAATACAGTTTTCTGTATTAATAAAATTATCATTGGATAGCGAAATAAACTAACCGAACACGATAATGACTAAATACCCTTTTTATTTTGGTATTACTAACTATTCTATATTACTAATAGCTATTTTAAAATGTACATTCAGTAGCTATCGCCCCTTATCATAGATCAGAAAGAAAACAAAAATCCCTTATCACTCGCTTGAAAACATCCTGTTGACTATACCAACAAGTATTTCAAAACAGAAGCTTGCGATAGTCAATTTGTAGACATTTTTAAAGGGAACGTCATTTTCAGATCTACAATATAATAGCTTTGTCAGTCTATGATCATCCGATTGTAAAGTCGGGATTACGCCATCCTTTACTCAACCAATTTTTTTAAATTATCTTTTGTGTGTTGTTTGGTCGTCCTAACACCAAACTGTCCTAGAACCAACAATTTTGTGTTCTGCTAATACACATCTAACCAGTGTGTGTAGTGCATTCCCAGTTGTGGGAACAATTAAAGGGTGTTTCTTAATGTACTACTGTCGTATTAAAAATAAAATATTATATCGTTTTTCTAAGGAAATCACTTATATTTTTTCAAATGGTGTTAAAACTTCTTCAAAAATTAGAAGCCTTATAAGATAAAGAGTTGTGCCCTCTGGAGATCAAATTGTTAGGGCTTGTTAAATTCATGACAATTACGTTACATAGGTACTTGCTTTTGTCAAAGCAGGTAGTGCTAGTAATTTTTTTTTGGTCATCAGGTTTACAACGGTTACTGAAAGTTGGACATATAAATCCTCTTTTTCGAATTTATGTCTAATTCCATAGACGTCACACAGGAGTGAGAACAAAATACGCTTATAGGTACTTTGCGCTTTAACCCGTTAAAAGTGCGTGTATTGCGTAGCACTTGCGTAAAAAATAAATATTAAGTCGATGGTCGTTACAAAATATACTCTTAGTCCTAATCTGGATGGACAGTGGTCGATAAATTAACACGGTCTTATATGTCATACTTTGACTTGTGTTATTCTTTTTTCATTTCCTTTGCTTATTTTCTAATGCGGGAAGCAATTACTGTGATAGCGAATTGTGCAGCGCTCCAACTAGGAAACATTCACCCATTGTGCGCAATGTACTTTTGTCTCATTCAATGCCGAAAGCGCGGTTTCACCGAAATCCCAAAATACAAAACACGCTACCTGCTCGGATAAATACAATTGATCGTAATTTTTGAGAACAGGTAATTCTGTTACGGGCAAAAGCTATTTGTCGTTGCTACAGCTGTTTTTAAGCAGGTAACTAGAAGGATTTTAGAGTATTATTATTTTTTGTTTAATTTAAACATGTATCTTTAATATATTTAAATAGTACGAGATATATAAGAAAGTAAATGTAAAAAACTTTAACTCGATAATTGAGATTCCGATATTATTCACCTACAGCAGCGGTCATGGTCATGGACGGATTAAAATAAGCGTCTGAATTTTAAAAATAAGCTCTACTGCAGCCCGTGTGTAGAAGTCAAATTTTTCAATAATAATTTCGATATAATATTGTCTACTTATAATGAAGGACCTAGCAAAGCTTAACTAGTTTTTGTGTAGCTACGTCATCAATAGCATTTTTTCATAATAGACGAGCGTAGAGTTCACTTCATTTGAAAGATCAGCAATTTAAAATCTAAACGAGATGCTGTCGACCCAATTTGACTTTGGATCTTCGGAATCTACAGATTAAAAATAACACGCGATTAAATTTTATGACGTTTTCATCTGTGAACGGATGTAATTTCAATATTTCTGCAACCATTTTTATTTATCAAGATTTCCAAAATTTCAGATAAATTGTAAATTGTTTAGAAACATTTTGGACCCAGTAGGGACTGAACCCACGCCCCGTTGTTTATTAGCCGTACATTGCTACCATTCTAGCAACGAGCCCAACAAAGGAGTGATCTCAATAGGGATCGTTGAACCGAGCGGCATTTTCAAGATCCCGTAATAATATCGGTGATGGTCCCTGGTTTCGCCCTTCGGGATAAGGGCAGCTAGGTTGGGGAGGCCATCGATTTTTGGCACCCTTCGCGCATAGATATCGAGGGCGCACCAAGATGGCGTGCCCGGACCTGCCTCACGCGTACTCACTTAACCAAGGTCACGAACAACGCGTCTCTACCAAAATACTCGATCCGATACTAATATCACTTTCTCTGTCGATTGAGTTGAATTGTGTATCGTCTGTCTCGTTCCCACTCATTGTCAATAGTCAATATGATAGGGCTGCTGTCACGTGGGAGCGCTGTTTGTACGCAGTTTCTGTGTTTACTTTTGTAGGAGTAAATACATTTTGCGTCGTATTTTTTAATATGTCTTTGATTTTATAAACTACTACTTTACTATAATTTTATATGTTAAAATTAAGTTATTTTATTTCAAAATTAATATACAATTAATAAATAGTCTTTTGTAGTATTGCAAATAGTCCCATTATAATTTCGTATATTGTCTCACTTCACAATAGATTATATTTAAAATAGACCTAACGGGAATCAACCCTAATCATAGCGAACCTCCTTTATCTAAATTATGGAAAATTTTGGAATGCGTACCTACGCAACGACCTTTTCTTGCACACAGAGAGTGCATCGCGCCATCTCTTTCGTCAATTGCTACCTAGAAGCAAGAAGGGCATGGTAGGGAGGGCATAATATTTTTGGGATACGATTTTTTTCGCAAATGCCACATGAATCCACCCTAGTGCGAGTCTACGCCGATTCCGGCGCGTTAGCTTTTTAGTGTATTATTTGTTTTCGTTTATTTGTTTGTTAGTACACTCTTAAACAGTGATAAGTGACCGATTATGTTGTTTATTGTGAGTCTTTCAATTTCATAATAGTGCGTTAATTTAAAAGTATTTAGTGAAGTTTGACGTCAAATGATATTGTTGCAAGCTTTTGAATTTGCCAATAGAAACCATCGTATTCAATTAAAGCTATACTTTTATTTTTTTAAATTAAAAAAAATAGTACTTTTATTTTATTTAATGTAACATTTTAATATTTTTAATTTACATAAATCTTCACCATAATTCAGCACACTATAAAGATTAATTTACTATTAAGCATGCTAATATTTCTATCGATGCAAAGAACATTTCAAATATTTCAGTATTACTAATTTTTATTTTCTCATTTCAGGTCTAATGACTTGACTTGCGCCGTGTCACAATGACATCGTTCGCAAATATGACGCCGTCGCTGGCGGCTAGTCTGCCGGCCACCTCGACATCTTCGTCGGGCTCAAATCTTAACTCTGCCGACCAGGAGGACCCGCTCGCCATGTCTAACATCATATGCAGCCTCCTGGAGAACATGAACAAGCCATCGAGTCTACAAAGCGGACCCTCTAATTCAAACGCCTCATCAGTACCATATGATATCTGGGCTCTACCATCCTGCAGCACCATACCGAATCCCATCGGAAGTTCCAGCCGGGAGTTTTCATCGACCAACAATAATAATAACCCGAGCCACTCGAAGGAAGATAACTCGAGCGGCTCCCCCGCTACGTCATCTTCGGTCTCGATCACCTGTTTCCGTTGCGAGGAGCGCACGCCGACCACACGCTGCCTCGAATGCAACGATCTCTTCTGCCACGAGTGTTGCCATAAAGTGACGTCCGATTGCCAATTACGTGAACACACTTTATTGCCCATACACCAGATTTCGCCGATCGGAGCCCGACCCAACTCTGTCACAAATGACAAGGAGGTTATGTATTGTGAACTACATTGCGATCCCGTGAGATTCTATTGTGAGGCGTGCATATTGTTTATCTGCCAAGAGTGCACTCTGTGGGTCCACAAAGATCATTGCTATTCCCCAATAAAGGGTGCACTCGATATGTGTCGGATCGGAGTATTCCGTGCGATAGAAGACACGAAGACCGGAACGAAGGCCATTAAAACGGCAATCGATAGGGCAGTCGCGATGTCCAAAGCCTATGAGAAAGAAACGGCTGAGGCCAACATGAAGATTAGGAAAGCGATGCGCTGCTTCGCGCAAGCCATTGAAGATAGAGAGAAATATCTGTTGGACAAAGTGGAAAAGATGCGACAAGCTAAAATGAGCGAATTGACCGATCATATGAATACTCTTCGAGGGATTCTAGCTGGGCTGGCTCATACTAATGAGACGTTAGTACGAAGTATGGATTCCGAAGGCATCGACTTGTTTATGGCCAAGGAGAAAGGTAGAGCTCAAGTAGATTACTTCTCTTGCATGTTCAAAAATATGTATACGACCGAAGAGCGCATAATGTTCATACCGCCCAACTACGATTTGGTCGATCAAATCAAGAGGCAATGCGATGTACAGTCCGCCCCAGTTAGTGCTATCCACGCTTTGACTTCTTCATCATCGCTCGTGAGCCACCGTTCATCCACGCGCCAGTCATTGCTGCAGTCGCTACAATCGGCGCAAACCTATCCGCCGCTGACATATCAAATGTCGATCACGAATAGCCTTCGGTCTCTGCCAGATTACACAACCAGCCACACCAGGTCGACCAATTACTATGACCACAGCATCTCCTCTAGCATTTCTATGGATTCCAATCCAGCTCGCGGTATTGGACAAGCGATCCCCGGATATTGGATGTCTGTGTCAGTGAAGCCTACTAGAAGTCCAGTACCGGGCGTCCCCATGTTCTCTTTCGGCAGGGAGGGCCAAGAGGAAGGTCAAGTGTCCAGACCGTGGGGCCTGTGTGTAGATAGGGAGGGTAACATTATTGTGGCAGATAGAAGGAACAACCGGATTCAAATATTCAACAACCGCGGGGAGTTCCGCAGCATGTTTGGCTCGAAAGGGACGGGACCGGGCGAGTTCGATCTCCCCGCTGGTATCACAACTGACACGTACGGTCGTATAATAGTAATCGATAAGGATAACCACAGAGTGCAGATATTTACTTCTTCCGGTAACTTTATCTTGAAATTCGGCTCTTTCGGCAAAGAGTGTGGACAATTCCAATATCCTTGGGACGTAGCTGTAAATACTTTAGGAAATATTGTCGTAACGGATACGCGCAATCATCGTATCCAGCTATTCACTAGTGACGGAACATTTATTACTAAGTTCGTGTTCGAAGGGGCGAATCCCGCTAAGTTGTTGAAAGGCCCGACAACGCCCCGAGGCGTGTGTTTCACCACGTCTGGTAACATTATAGTGTCGGATTTCGAAAACCACCGTTTGCTCATGGTGGACCCGACCCTCTCGAAGGTCCTGCATTGCGTGGGCCGCGAAGGGTCCGGCATAGGTGAACTGAATCGTCCGTCCGGCATCGTGACGGACGACGACGGCCGCATCATCGTGGCGGATTCGAAGAATCACCGCGTGCTCGTGTTCACCTCGGAATTACGTATCCTGTGGGCGGTGGACCTTAAGAGCCCCGGCCTCGACGACAAGGACCGCCCCAGCGACGTAGCCCTCACCCCCGAGGGCTACCTGGTCGTGCTGTTTGAGACGCTCCCCGACACCGCGCGCGACATCTCCTCCCACGGCAAGCAATACATTAAGGTATACTGACTGACTAGTTGCGTAAAACTAAAATTACGTTTTGGACCGTAGGTCTCCTATATTTTTTATTATAGTGTATTTTTTGTTTCGTTTAAGTTGTGATTGATTTCGTAATGTGCCAATTTTATTATATTCGAAAGAGTCCGAATCGAGCATAGCTTGAACGGAGAATCGGGTTCGGTGGCGAACGCATTCTCCTTGAACATTTGAAACACTTTGTTACCATAGATATTTTGATTTCGTTTCCGTATCGAACTAGTCTCTAAGGGCCGAACGCGGCGAGCGATGAGTGCTACGATTTCGCATTGCATAGCTTCAGTGTATACTAATCATATCCAAATCAATTGAACAGGAAAATCTTGGATTCAATAATTTTATCTAAATATTATTATGAAAAGATCACGATGTGATTTAAAAGATGTGTTTTATGTGAGATAATTTTAAATTAGCTTAAAAAGTATTCTTTCCAAAATGTTACTTTTTGCGTTCGTTTTTCTCGTTTAGTTATTGACAAAAGAGACGCTAGTGAATTATTTCGCTTACTTGGTTGGAATTTTCTTCGGAGGCTCGTTCGGAATGTGGTTAAGTCAACTGAGCTAAGAAATTAAATGCAATAAACTTTGAGACTGACTTTAGAAGACTGTCTTAAAGATTGGGAAGAGGTGCGCGGTGCGAAGGCGGTCGACGTAATCGCGTTCGATGCAATTTAACACTATTTAGGTAATTCACTTCTTTTTCTTGTGCATATGTTATATGATGCTAATGAAATTTTTATTTTATTTACTTTTATGAATCGATTAGAATTCGACTGGTTTCATGGGCTGATTTTTTTTTTACTTTTAAGATCGAAATTTCTCAATTCTAGGTTAGATAAAACGTTAGCGTTTAGTTGTTAATTTTCAGGTTAAATAATAATTTAAATTTAATTATATAAATTTTAAATGAATTTAGTCCGGTGATTTGATTAGTTAATTGGATATATGTTCTGCGTTAAAAATTTCACTATGGGCGTTGTGCATGAATCGCTTTGCACTCGCCGACACGTGTGCGAACGCGCTTTTACTAATTCACCTCTGCGTCTACCCTAGTCAGAAGTAGATAACGTAGAGGAGGACGTTTTTAACGCAGCGACGTTTAGTTGAAATATTTTAGCGAAATTCATCCTTCAAAATTCGAGAGTTCTATGAATTACTTATAGTATATTTTTTAAATGTTTCTAAGTATATCGAATGTATTCGATTTAACATGTGTTCAGTCTGTATGTGTTCACTATTTAATGTAGGCTAGATGGGACCCGTCGGGCCCCGAACTATCATTGTCTAGTTAAATGCGTGCTCTAGGCTAATCGTTGAGGTACCGCTTCCAAAATAGTATTCTACTCTTAACATAGTGTATGTTATAATACTTATCAATGTATAGCCGACGGTTTGCCGAACCACGAAACTATAGACATAGTATGGAATCCTATTAATCGTCCTATGAACTTATTCGACTTTAGATCTTGTATCTTAAATACCAAAGCTATATTTCAGTGTTAAGCTCGATCACTCAGCATGTATCCGCTTCTAGAGTATATCAAATTTAACGGTGAGTAGATTTTAAGCTCAATAAAAGCAATGTCTCCTTTGTAAGAGCATAATGTTAGCTAAATTTAATGTGTTAGAGTAACATTTTTCACGTTTTGTACTTAGGTTAAATTAGTTTAAGCGGAGCCGTTTCGACGTTAAACTTCAAAACTTCGCTACGTAAGGAATTCTGAAAGTATCTAGTGTCGACATAACTATAGTTATAGTTAAGTGTGGCTTATTATAGTGAAATTATTGTTATCGAAAAGTACAGACACTCGGCCCTACGGTCACTATTTCTCATTTTGCGTGTGAATTGTTGTTTTTGTTGACTATCGTGACTTAGCCAGAATATAGTGACGAGGGTAGTTGTGAAAAGTTTCGCTTACCGCTCTTCGAGGACATGTCCAGGTCGTTGTCGCAACAAAAACAGCAATCGACTCAAAACAACATGCAGTGGTTTGCGTCTTTTACGGTCAATTAAGAAAATTCCGTTTGAATAATAGACTTATTTCAATTTCGTATCGTAATTTTGAATTGAATATTACTTAATTTGTTTTTCAGTGCCATTTTAATAAGTATTATGTTATTTTTAAAATAATATGTTGCATGAAATGCATTTTTTATATTATTGATTTTTTTACGAAATTACGAACTGATGTCAGATCGACAGTTATTTTTGTATGACGACTGAATCTCGGTATTTTGGACAGTGATTTACAATTTCGCGTAACATAATACGAATTTGCAAAGCGAATTCTAATAAATATTTTGCTAATAACATCGTCGTATTGAACTTAGATTTTGCAATCTGACTAAACTAGAAGAATGACATAAACAATAGGACTAATTCATGAATGCGACAATTTTCAACTGTAAATATCAATTTTGGCATTTTTTAAAATTTCGTATCGTTACAATAGTATCCTTCTATAAGTTTAACATCGTACTATTGAATCATAACGACTTCGAATAGACCGTAGACAAAGAATTTAATTCTTAAAATCGTTTGTCACAATGTTACAACTGGACTTATTAGTTTTCATTTATGTTAAGGGTTTATTTTGTTATTTCTCGTATATGGGGGGGCAGTGCGCTGTGACGATGCATGAAAAGCTAAGAACGATTGGTGTCAAATACGAGCACCGTAAACCTTGAAGCGCACAGCCCACCGGGCCATTACCACTTTGTAAAAGTGAACCAAATTTTGAAACGCATAATATAATATTGATGTAATCATCCGAGTCAGAGATTTGATCGCGAAACGTTATGTGAGCTGCTAGCTGCTAGCAGTATAAATGGTATTGTGATAAGAAACAATAAAATTGAGAACAAAATCGCGCGACGATAATTAATTTTTGTAGGCGGTTTTTTCAACGTTTGAATCCGCGTTTTCAAACGCCAAAGGAATACTCCAATTGTTTCCTTTTAAAAATAGTGTTGTGGTAATGTAAGACGCAATGCGATAACTGCATGATCTTAGGGAATGTATTCAGCCATTATATTCGTGCTATTCGTAATAACTAGGGCTTGCGTTCGTTGTGTTAGTATTAGAGTTATATGCGTTCATCCCCCCTTTCAAATAAGGTAATTACATATTTTAATCGAACATTTATCGTAGTGTGTATTCAAAATACTCCATAGAGCGTAGTGTGTGGTTTAGCTTATGAAGTATTAGTGAAAAAATTACGTCTCAAGTAAAAAATAGCAGGTGTAATCGAAGGAGGGATGAATGATTCGCGTTTCTATTTAGTGTAACTTAAGTAGTATTTTTGTATCCGTTCTTCGTACGGGACAGTCGCGAGAGTGCCCGCGGAGAAGGTCATGTTCACGAGTCGTTTATGGTACGCTTGGCTCCGGTTTTGATTCATCTCGACACAAGAAAATCTTGGATAACGTATATTGGATCGGAAAATTCGATGATACGAACAGGTCTCACCAAAGACCAAAGTAGTCGACAGCGTGACTTACCGATGGACAAACGAATCACATAAAATACGTGTCGTGGATTCGTGTCCCGCCAGGCTATCGATGTTTCCAATCTAGAATACCTGTTCCGATGTGTCACAAATTGACGCGTAGCAGAAATGACTCGCCACGTGCATAGTTACGAATACCGAACCTACCTCACTTGCAAAAGCATAAAGACTGATATGAATTAATTCGGCAGTGGTCAGATCACTGCGTTAGAAGTCTGTTGTCTACTAGATTAAGCAAATTCTTAATCGTAATCTCTTCACTTGTCTAAATTAAGCGTCCGCGCGCGAAAGCGAAGTTTCCGTTGTGTCCCGTCAGCAGTCGACAACAGCCTTTTTATTTTCTAATGATTATGTATATCTTATGTTACTGTCCTGTAATATTGTTAAAAGAAGACTGATATTTTATAAATGTTCCTATATTTTAATTTAGAATAATTTACTGCCTACCTTCATTTTATTTAACCTCTCGGTGAATGTCATTACTTTGACTCTTGTATTCTTATTAATTGTGCATGACGCTATATTATGTCATGGATTTTTTGAAAATTTTAAGGCAATTTTGTATTAAAATTAATCAATTTATAAAATTATAATGGTGATTGATAAAATTATAATGGTCTCGTAAATATGGAAACTCGATGTTTAATTATTTACCGGAGCCGTGCCTTGTAATCCCCATACTACCCCCTAGTTGCCAACCCCATTTTTAGGAACTGGTCCTGGATCCAAACTCAATGTCGATAACTTTCTCTATGTACAAACGGACCACATGTATCCTAATATGTACCTTAAATTCATCCACCGAGATCTGTTTGCGAGCCTTGCCTAAAGGTAACACCACCAAAAATCTCACGTTGCCATTACCGCATCATAATCTCGATTGTCGTGTTGCGGATAATCGTAGTACATCAGATCACTTAAGGTAGGATGAGGACCTGTAAGCTCCTTTGGTGTAATTTAAAAATGGAACAATCTTTTACTTCACCACATGGCAACCAAATTAAACTTATCAAAGATTTAATTTAAATTTAGAACTGGCAGGCACCTAAAAAGCAGTTTAATGAAAAAAATAGTTTGGCGTGTAAAAATCTATTGGTTCTTCATAGATAATCTATACTAATATATAAAGCTGAAGATTGTTGTTTGTTTGAACGCGCCAATTTTAGGAACTACTGGTTTGAATTGAAAAATTCTTTTCGTGTTAGCTAGAACATTTATCGGGGAAGGCTAAGGCTATAAAACATCGTGCTGTGACCTATTCGGCACAGCAGCGGGAAATGAAAGCGAAACGAAAGAAAATTTTCAAATCTGTGGGCTTCCGATGCGTACGCTGCTAAAACGGTTTAAGATACCCAAAAAATATGTATGAAAGAATAATTCATTTTTGAATCATCTATACTATATAAATGTTTGAAGACCCTAACTACCTTTGACGAGGGGATTCGAAGGATGGGTCGCGGGCGACGCGACGCGTCCGATGTCGATGTCGGATAGAAGTTTAAATTTATAAATACGAAGAGGAGGTTTTCAAAAACAAATGTAGATGCCCAAAATACCATTCTACGCAGACGAAGTCGCCGGTACAGCTAGTCTTGTATAAAACTAAAATCTTGTAAGTCACTAGATGAAATATGTATAGAAAAAGCCACTGGCAAGATTTGTCATTTGATGTCAATCAGTTGTTATCTCGACGTGTTTACAAAATACGAAATGGGTCATCATGTGAGTTCGTTGTTTTCGAGTCTCGGGAGGTTCTTCGAGTACCCCGTGAAGAGAAAACCAATATGCTTTTACAGACAAGAAGATTTTACTGCAACCGGTATTTTTATGATTTATATTTAGTCTAATCAAAATAATATTATAAATTAAGTCTAATTAGATGTTTAATAATTCACAATTATAAATATATATAGGTGAACCACAAAAGAAAGTAACTGATAACCAGAAATCCACTAAAACTGATTATGATAAGTTGGTGGAATTGTTTTACAAGAGGCTGGCCGAACAGCGTCAGTACAACCAAGTAATTATACTTTGTCTAATAGTAATTAATGTTATTTACAATATGAATGAAGTATATTTAGGTTATCTCAAGAATAACAATTGTTATGTAGGAGATGAAAGAAAAAGATAGACGTTGGAGCATGCAGAAGGTAGTGGAACGCTTTCCAGGCTGGAACGAAGTGACCATCGCGAACCTTCATAGCCTTTTCTTGCTTTTCGATAACCAATCGAATGGGATGCTTGGTTTCGACGATTTGTAAGTCTAATAAATCTGTCGATAAAATTAAGCCGGCCTCTGGTTTCGGAAATTCTGTTTTTTTTAATGATAGAGGAGGACAGACAGGCATGGTTTACTTGATGGTAGGTGCCCCACCCTATAGCATGCTAAACAAGATGCGCTGTCGACCATTTTTTGGCTTTACATACTCGAAAATCCATAGACTGAAACCGAAACATGATTAAAAAATCTTGGACCCGGTGGAGTTCGAACCCATTATTTTTTTGATTATTTGCCGTAGATTGCTACTATTACACAAACGAGTCTATGTAGATTAAACATTTAAATAAAATACTTTAACGGTTTAAAACGCAATATATTAGTTAAACATTTTTGGAAATTGATTTTTAACTTCGGCCCGTACTTTTCATTTCAAAATAAGCCGCTTTCGTTGTTTTTTTTTTCTTTTTTTTTTTAAACATATTTAATATATCGTCGTGCTTTGCAGCGCACGGGGAGTCTCCCCTGTCAAGTAAACCGTGTTTTATTTAAATGTGTACTACTCGCGTAAACTATAGACACAATATAAGTTACTATTTTGTGTTAATTTAAATATGAAATGAATGCCATAGTTGTGCAGTCCTGGAAAGTTTAGGAGACGAAAGTTCAATGGAGGTGCGCAAGGAGAAATACAACGCAGCCGACACAGATAATGATGGTTGGATAACATATGACGATTTCTTATCGGTGATTTCTTGGTCTTATGCTTAATATATTATTTTAATTTACCTATCGTAACTTCTAAATTGCTTGTAAAAAAATTTTGCTTTAGAAGTTTAAAGGTTTTTTAAGGCACAACTGTTTAAAACGCAAATGTATACCTACTTGTTGATTTGATTTTATATCATAAATATCTTAATCAACTGACAAGCTTTGCAGCACCCTTGATTAGTAGCCATGGGGGAATACTATATCTAGTAAATTTGTCATATTACAAGTTACAAACTTTATATCTTAGAAAAGAACTATCTTAACAAAAAAGGTACAAAAAGGTTCCACTGCATAATGTGTTATCACTAATTATTGCGATAGTTGGTGGACTCCACCAACTGGCTCGCCCTGGAGCAGCACGGTGGGTCTCCTACGAGCAAGAGTTTAATACCTACTTTAAAGAAAACTTGTTTGAAAACCTACATTTAATATTTTTTCACATGAAATGGCGCTATTTAATTTAAAAAATCTAAAATAAATGGTTTTTTTAAATAAAAAATAAATGGTTTAAATATATTAGTTAAACTTTGCATTTTCCCGCACATACTGGTTAATTAATACTGTCTATAGTTTACGCAAGTAGTACACATTTAAATAAAAACTTTAACGGTTAAAACCGATATATTAGTTAATACTATAACAGTGTTTGATTTTTTTTCGAATCCGGCAGGACTTGAACACACTCCAACAAAGAGCAGCACACGGAACGGATGCCGATTCAAAGTCCTGCCCGAGGCGAAAAATGATTTTCAATTTATCTTCGATTTTTAAATTATATAGGAAACCTTATCCTAACATTATTGAATTTAAACTTTAAAATAAAGGATTTCTATTTAATAAACTTGGTGTCTTTATATGCTTTTCAGTTGGTTTACCACTTCAGTCCCCAAGAGGATGGTCAGCTGACGGGACTCGCTCAACTATGCAACGACGTGGCTGATAATATACAGTTTGTTAGCAACTTAACGGTTGGCGAGCAGTTGGAGTATGGGTTATTTTAAAAGTAATTGTAGCTTTTAAATTTATTAAAACATTTCTATTAATACCTAAATTTTTTTTATTGAGAGCAAATTATTAAAGCTGAAACCATTATGATTTTGTTAGTTTTTATGTATAACTTAGAGAAAGTATAAAGATCTTATTTTATATTGAGGTATCATTCCTTGAAATGTCACCCACCCCAAAATATCAACAGCATAAAAGAACAATGGCCAAATTTGTATAGATATTGGACCTGACAAAATTTTTTCGCGTTCCATAAGAATTCAAAAAGGGTGCATTTAATACCACTCTATATGAAAACATTTTTTTTAATGGCAACATAATTTAATATTGTCAAATAAAATAAAAAAAAGTTTTGAGGTTAGATTCAATAAATAAGTTTAATCACATATGTTTCAACTATAGAAATGAGCATCATCATTATGTAAAAAGCAGAATGCGTTTTTGGGAGGGCAAATTAAAGAAGTTTTTTTACCCACTACGTATCAAACAAATTGTAATAACAACTGTCAGTCCTGCGTCAGTGATCAAATGTCAATCGATAGCGCGTCGATGATAAATCGTTCCACTACTAGCAAGTGGTCAAGTTACTTTTACTTGCTCTTTACATATAAAAAGCAAAAAAAACAATAAATAGACATCATCATTGTATATTGGACGTTATTAACGTTATCTGGCGATAAATTCGATATGCGAACTCTAACCATACTTTCTGAACAAACAAATTAAAAAAAATCATATTTGGAAAAGAAAATTCCATATCTTTTTTCCTAGGTTTACTTTAATTTATTATTAATATTTCCTAGAATGAAAAAATCAGATTTTTTATATTACCACATAAATGGTCGTCCTCAGATAAGATTTGGCCATTGTTCTTTTGTGGGTACTTTAATAAATGTCATTAGGCCTTGTTGTCGGGTCCTAGTAAAACTTAGTATCTTGGCGGTTGGTCGTCGCTTAGCGATTCAATGTCGCTAAGCTCGTTGAGGGCAGGATCACATGCCAAACATCCGTACCCCACGTCCCTCCAGCACTCGTCACAGTAAACGAACGGACACTTCGTGCTCGAACAGTTGTGCCATGATTTATCAGCAACTATAAGAATTAGAACCTTTGATGATGCCTATAGCTGGGATTGGAGCCTCCTAAACGTACAATCTTTTCGGCTCTGGGAAAATATATGGGAGTATTTAAGTTCTGTTGCCTCTTTAAGGCCAGTTTTACTTAGGACCTAATAGAAAAGAGGAATGTGTTAAACAAGGGGAAAGCTTAACATCATTGAGGGTTTCCATGGTGTACGTTGAAAAGACAGTTCAAGACACCAAAAAATATTACATATAAAGCTAGGAATGTTGTTTTTAAAAAATATATTTGGATGCCCAAAATAACTATTCCATAGGGACGAAGTTAACAACGTCGGGTTAAACATGTGACTTACGATACTTGAGTTTCGGTTCGGTTTCTTCACAAATGAGACACTTCATTCTAGCGAGAGACACAGCGCCCAACCAGCCCAATAATTGTGGGAATTTTATCCTCAGCGTGACTAGATTCTCTCCAGAGAGATAGTGTGCCCTTACAGCTTGCACGGCTTTCCTGCGTAACGTCTTTTGCATCTTCAGGCGTTTCTTTAGAATGTCATTGTAGAGGTGTAATATTCTTTGTTTCTCCCGTTGCGGGTAAAACAAACTGCAAATTAATCTAAAAGATATCCACTTCTGAATGCGAGTTATGTATAATGTTTTTATTTGCAATGGCGTGACCAATTTTAATAATTTTTTATTGTTGAAATAAATAATTTTTATCGGATAGACACGATTTTTTTTTTGCAACATAGTGATGTACTGTGAGGCGTGTTTATAAGCTTCCCACCGAAACGAACTTTGCTTTAACTTTATTGGGCGGTAACTTTTCCATTTTCCTTTTGAGTTCAAAAAAAGGACCTGGTTCATATAGCGACGACATACACGCAATTGCTGGCTCATAATGGGCGAAAACTGACTAAAACCGTAAAGCAAGGACAATTTTGTAGTCGGCCTACTCTCGAGACCACCATCTTGAACCAATATTTGTACATTTATTATAACAGCTCTTTAGAAACTAGATAAAAGATATACAAAGTAGTAATTTGAAAGAAATTAAGGTTTGTTTTTTATTTATTTCTTTACTAGAAAGAGCAAAAATACGAAATGATTAAAATAGACCTTTAATTCAACTTCTTCCATTGAATATTGATTTCTTGGAATGCTTTAGTTGCTTTTGTTTAGAAGATTAGATAATTGATGTGCAAGTCTACCTCCTTAATCTCAACGTATAAGGGTTGATATACAACAGAAGTAGGATCCACATATAACCTCCATATATTATAACATAGTAACTTGTGTGCATAGCGTGTGGCTTTGGCACGCACTCTTTATTAGACACCAGTACCGCAGTTGTATTTACTAGATTTAGCTCGGTTACAATCTTTCGAACCATATTTGCTAAGAATCCTTTTCCTTCTATCTAGAAAGATAGATTACAAAAGTTCAATTATAGACCGATCAGCGTAATACATACGCTCTAGTTTAAAGAAAGCACTTTTAACAGTTAAAAACGGAATTTTTTTCATTCAACCTAACTACGACTGCACGTTTCAGTTGCTATGAAACAGCCGCAACTGAGAAACGAGTCACGGCAAAGCATCCTAAATCCTTGTAGTTTAAATAATTTAAAAATAACTTCGCGTTATAAACGGTTAAAGTGTTTTGTTTAAACACACGTTCTCATTTGTATGTACATAATTATAACCACAAGAAAATTATTAAATATGGTCTGTAGTTTATGCGAATAGTACATATTTACATAAAACACTTGTAAAGGTTTGAAACGCGAAATGTTTATAAATTACCGTTAAGTTGGTTTTAATTAATTTAACCGTGGTCACGGCGGACCCCCATTATTATAAAATGATAATAACTAATATATAATGCGTTTTAAGCCGTTAAGAGTATTTTGTTAAATAAACCTCTGTTAAAAACTTTCAATTTATTTTGCATAATGATTTTTTTTAACATACTTAATTGATGTTTTTGAAAAACATAATAATTTTTGCACATGATGATGGCATTATATAAATTAAAAATCGATTTTAGGAAGAAAAAAATTTAGGACACGGGCAGGACTTAAACCTATTTTTGTCTAATTAATTCCATTTAAATAAAATACCTGAAAGGTTTAAAGCGCAATATATTTTAGAGATGTCGAGTGCTGACGAGAACCGATAGATATTTAACAAGAGGTTATAACAAAGATCATACACAAATAGTAAATTACGTAAAGGCATTTAGATAAAACACTTTAACGTTTACAACGCGAAATATATTAGGTAAACTTATTTGGAAATTATTTCAACTACGCCCCCAACGTTTCAGATGCTTTGCAGACGCCGTGGTTAAAGGGAGACTCTCCCTAATTTCTAAATAAAACGTTAGTGTTTTATTTTAATGTGCACTCGCGTATACTACAGACAGTGTTTAATTTATTTCACCTGAACATCCAGATCTCCCAAGCCATAGTGTTCAGAATTGTTATATTGCCGGACCACATCCAGGGCTTCGAAGAACAGGCGGTCTAACATCACGAAGGTAGTAGCTGTGATCGCCTCTAACATTACCTTCAAGACTTGGGTGAAGAGCTTACTCCGCTCTGACGGAATGTAGGTTGATGAATATACATCTATATACCTATTTCTTTCCATCTGAAATTGCCTTTAAATAAACGACTTTAACGGTTTAAATCGCAATATATTTTAGTTGAAATTGTTTGAAAATTATTTTTGACTTCGGCCCGACGTATCGGATGCTTTGCAGCCGTGGTCACGGCGAGTCAAACAAGTTAAACTAAAATATAACGCGTTTTAAACCGTTAAAGTGTTTTATTTAAATGTGTACTACTCGCGTAAACTACAGACAATATTTAAAATTGCCTCTTATGATAGAGAAGACATTTTATCATTTTAACAAGATGTGTTGTCGACCTACATTGAATTTCGATATTTGGACTGTAACAGAAATGCCGATATTGCACTGAAACTCAAATGTGATTTTGCTATATCTCTTCATAGTTTGTCAATTGTTTCATTTAAAATGTAATATGTATATATTTTAAGTCAAACTCACGACTGTGATTTGACGTTGATTATTACACTTTTTATTAAATGTTACAACACACAATATGCCCCCATATGGAGGGGCATTTTTTTTGTAAACATTGTTTAGTTCAAAGAGGGCATGGGGCTGACACATTTTGGTAAATAACAAGTCTAGAAATCTACGAACGCGAATGACAAGTCTGTAGGTATATTTAGTATATACAATCTAGATCTAACACATTTTCGGTTAATCGGTAACAAATACGTAATGTGTCTTTATAGTTTGACGTTAGGCTGGCTTAAAAACAAAACACTACACCTTTTTCAATGGCAACAATGAACACTTATGTTTCTCTTTACGCCTTCCATCAATTCTCTTGAAGTATCCCGTGATATAAACATTATCATAGTCTATACTAGTTAAGTAAAGGTCGTGATAACTTTGCGCTGACGTCACAAGTCTCAAAAATAGTAAAGCCAGACACACATTGACGATAACAACAGCGCCCTGCATCACGTAGTATTTCACTTCAAACGCTTCGACTAATTGTTCAGCGGTCAACTTAGTAGTGTGAAACTGGAAATAAGACAGGTTATTTTTTATCGTAGCATTTTGCAGTACTTGTGTCCAACCAACCATAAATAAATTACACAAACAGAAGCGTACTTCAGCCGTCACCGTGGCTTAACGCAATGCCTCAGAGATCCAGGTTCGAATCCCGGTAAAAAACAATCTCAATGGAACGAGGAACAGAATTCTGATTATGGACTTTACTGTAACATTTATTACGGACAGACCCTTATGTACCTGATCATCGGTCTTGTCCGGAATTTCTCTGCATACTACATTCACATTGATCAAATTCTCTGTAAACGTTTTTGACGCTTTCTTTAAATATACGTAGCCCTCTCCCAGGCCTGGATCCAACTAAAATATAATGGTTTATTTGGTTGATTGATGGTTTGAGAACAGATTTTTTTTTGAATCAACAATCTTTTCAGGGCTCGCAGGATAGGATTATTCAGAAACTTAGGGTATTGGGTCAGAAATTTTTTTTGTGTCCGTTTTACTAATTGATCCACAGTCAGCAATACTTTACCATGTTTACCAGAGGAGTCTTAACCAGGATAGCTGTCGCTTATCACTGTGACGGACAAACATTTACGCGGCTACTAAGTTCTAAGACATATCTTACCTCATCCTGAAAATTACAAATCGGTCCAAGATAACGGTGGATATTACAAGCATTGGGAAGCATCAGAGGCCAGCAAAGGATTCCAGCGTCCATCGGTACCAAGTTAAAGCAAATATCATAGGAAAGAGAAAATACTTGCATGCAGGACATAACAGCGTGAGAGATTTGCCTTTCGCAACGAAATTCCATTTTATTAATGTATTTTTTTACGTATTTAGGGGATTCTGTCTCCCATAAAGATTGACTGCAAAGTACAAATCACAAACGTTTGTGCGCGAACACCTCACGAAAAATCGAAGATTAGTTTTTTTTTAGAATGAAGAAGGACAGACAAGTATGGGGTGAGATAGAAGGTGAAATATTCCAGCCATATATCTATCCAAGAGTCATTGTCTACCTATTTAGGCTTTGGATATTGTGAAAGACTGACTGACCGAAATGCGATTAAATTTGTGGACAGCGATTCGCGTGCTTCGTGACCCTCACGGAATTTCGATATTCCTACCACAAATTTAATGACAGCATTTCCAAACGAAGTCCAACATGTTTCTGAAACACAAAACAACGTTTGCCCAGCCAGCTAGTTTATATCTATACATACCGATATTTATCCTGAAAAATAGGTTTGTGCAGTATGTTAAACATATCGTTGACAAGATCATTTTCCGCTTTCGTTTTCTGCACTTCCACGATGCTTTCCAACTCTATTTCAATCGGTACGACTGATTTCTTCAAAGCTCTAACGGTAAAATTACCATAATAAACAATATTACTATAACAAGAAACTACGGGGTGTCCTTATTTTGCAAAAATCTTTGATCCACTACTTTGCAAGTATTTCGTTAACTATTCGTTTAACATCTGACTTCTAGGTGGTTCAAAACCTTATATCCACACTAATATTATAAAACTGAGGTGTTTGTTTTTTTTTTGAACGCGGTAATCTAGGAAACTCGAATAGAAAATTTATTTTTGTCTTGATTACAGCTCTTTACAAAGGTACAGAAAAGTGGAAAAGACGGGAAAAATTATACATCCTTTTAAAAAACGGGCTTTTGTTGCGTGCGCTGCAAAAACGGTTCAACATATTAAAAAAATGTATTAAAGAATGATTCCCCTTCAAATGATCAAAAAGTTGTCCGCGACAGTAAAATTTTAAAGCGACCGATGTCGTAAATGACAGCTATAATTTATAAAGATGAGGAGGTTTGCAAAAAGAAAAATTTGATGCCAAAAATAACTATTTTGCGCAGACGAAGTCGCTGGCACAGCTAATGTATACTAATAATTTAAAAATCGAAAATAAATTGAAAAAATTTTCGACTGCCCGAATAATATTTCTTTTTTCAATTTTCGATTTTTAAATTATATAGTGCCTTCATGTGCAATAACATGTAAAAAATAATAAAGTTTTTTATACTAATAACTCTTATATTCATTAGACAAACTTAAGATTTTAAGAAACTTTATTTGTCGATTTTTATTTATTATAAGAATACGCACCTCAACGTACCTTTAAAAGCGTCCGTTTCACTTTTCATATTACATAAAGCCCTTTTAACAGGGTTTGCAATGAAAGAATATTTCAGTCTTGTAAGATTATATGATAATTGTGAGCTGCAGGCAAAGACGCGGACCACCTCCTTCGCGTTCAACGCCATATTGGTTATAGGACCTTAAAAATATAGTATCTTCAATTTAATTTGAGCTGCAAACTGCTAGGGTAACATTCTATTGAATCGAAAACAAAACGTATTTTAAATAAAACACTTTAACGGTTTAAAACGCGATATATTACTTGTTTGATTGATTTAAACTTATTTGAAAATGATTTTTAACTTAAAGTCCATTCTGTAAAGACCCGGCCAGTTTCGCCAAATACCAACTTCGACGGAACAGATGGCGCTAGCGTAGCAATTTTTTACTTTGTCATCAGAGACATCCTCCATCTTTAGTCTCCACGTGACCACGGCTGCTGTAAAGCATCCGAAACGTCGGGGCGAAGTTAAAAATCATTTTTAAATAAGCTTAACTAACTAATCACGTTTTAAACCGTTAAAGTGCTTTATTTAAATGTGAAGGTACTACTCGCAAATACTATAGACAGTATTAAAAACGTATTTTTATTAAAATTACGGCCTTCGAGCCGCCATGTGCAAGAATTAAAAGACTAGAATTAAAAGACACGCAGTAAATTATAGCTACTATATACTTGTTTGTTGAGTTTTGTAGCGACTACCAAGCACCGGAAGAATACCAAGCATTGAGTATAGACCAGTTTTAAGAAAGCTTTCAACGGGTTAGATTAACTGACAGTACAATCGGAAAAACACTCAACAGCTAGTACATATTTTCTTTATCAAACTAATATTTTTTCACATGTTGTTGCACACGACGGCTCTATACAAATTTAAAATCGATTATACATTGAGAAGAAATTCGACACAGGTGGGACTTGAACTGGCATATAACTACCCTATAGATATAATAGATCAAGAAATATAACTTACCCGCTACCACATAAGTTAAAACAAAAGCTTTTAAAATCGCCCTGCCAGCTTTTCCGCAATACATAGGCAATAGTAGTAATGATATGCATCTTATTTGTATTGACACAGCATTTCCTATACCTTAAAAGTAAAATTTAAAATAATTAATTTCTTCATCTCCTTTAATAAATATAAGAAGCTAATCTATAGATCAACAACCTTAGTACATCTGTGTGCGCGCGTCTCGACCCTAAAAAGGAGGGAGGTTGAAGGATTTACCACGAATGGTAACAAATAATACTAATTTGATATTAAAAATAGGTTTACTTTTAGTATCAACTGTTCAATAGTGAAAATTAAATGGCTCTATGGTGGCAATGTATAGCTACTAGTCAACGAGTCGTGGGTTCGAACCCTTCCGGCGCCAATATGTTACCAATCAATTTATCTTTTCTGAAACATATTACACTTTGCCTAAAAGTCTGGATACGAAATGGGCGGTAGGGAATATCGAAATTCCGCCTGGGTAACGAAAGAGTCCACAGATGAAAGAGCTATAAAAAATCGCGTTACGGCTTCAGTCTGTGGTGCTCCGAATATCTAAGGCAAAATAAGTCAACGCATCATGGCTGGAGTATTTCACTACCATCAAATAAACCGCATGCTACTCTTGCTTCCATAGACATACCAAAGTTATATAAAAAAATATCTAATTAGGAACTAACCTAGACCTATACTTATAAATAAACCCAAAACCTGTCCAGCTTCGTTAGGTAGCACAACCTTCAATAAATAGTGATAATACGCTTGGCCGAGGCAGAAAGCAGCTGTAAATGCTATTAAACATTTTAACTTTCTTCCTTTATTTGGCTCAAGTTTAAACCATAGACATCGATGAAATATACGTGGAAAAATATCCACAAACACCATTTAGAAATAGATTTATTAGTTACTTCTTTACGACATAACGTCAATATGACTTTATTTACTTTTTTTTACCAGACAAGCTTTACTGCATGTTAACCTGCAAGCTTGCAGGTGCAACATGCCTCATAACATCTGGAACAACTTTTTTTAAGGTAACCCATTATCGGCGTATATTCTAATATACAAATTTTATTCACTACCTGTGTCTACGACTTCGTCCGCGTAGAATAGTTACTTTGAGCATCCGAATTGTTCTTTGCAAACCTCATCTTAATATATTATAGCTGTTACCCAAGTCTTCCGCGTCCCGTCCATCTTGGAAGTCTGTCTTAAAAGATAGACGTTATACTTTGCGGACATTTTTGATAATTCAAAGAATAATCCTTATTTTATATATATTTTTGTTGATCTTGAATCATTTTCAAAGCGCACGCAACAGGATCTACTACATCTATTCTTACGTATTTACTTTAAATCAGAGAAATTAAGAATAAACTAAGAATAATACAAAAGAAAATATTCAAGTTCAAAGCGATAGTTCTGAAAAGAGCTAATAGCTATTAAAAGAACTTTTGAACTGAACCATAAAACTGTTAAAAAAACGAAATATTCATTATATATATTATATGTATTAGTAAGGAGCCCACTGCCCCTTTCGTCGAGTTAGTTACTCGATGCGCGGCATGACGGCCGCCGGCATGTATTTTTATTTTAACTTCATGATATCTTTTGAATGGAATGTCCGATTTCAATAATTAAAAAAGTAATCATCAGGTATTGAGACAGTCTTGAATATTAAATTATTGATTTGTATAAAAATTTATAAATGGTATGGATAACACGGTTTGATTTTGTTCGGCATTTCTATCAATTTGTTAAATGTAAAAAAGTAGTTATAGTAACGTAACTACAATAGTTAGACATATAGTCGCGGGACTTTTTTTGTAGATATTGATATATTCTATAATATTGTCGAACATTTTTTTGTCCTATCATTAATAATTTTCGCAGCGTATGCGAAGAAAGACATTTTACGGCTAATTTTTTTACGCCTTCCGTTGGTTTTAGTAAGAATTTCTATAGACGCCTATAGTAATCAAGTACTAAATATATGCCTATGTTACTCAGTGATAATGTAGCTTTCTAATGAAAAAATAATTATTAAAATCGGTCTAGTACTTTTTGAGTTTATGCATTACATACAAAACTACAAATCTTTCCTCTTTATAATATTTGTATAGATTTATTTTAACAGCTCGGTGAATTGTTGTAAGTTCGATTCTTCTACTGCTTAGAGGGCTTTATTTGAGTATTTACTGTAGTTATGTATATATTTAATAAGTTAGTAAATAATAATTAAATATATATATATATATAATTACTAAAACAATGGTTACGTCCACATATTTTTATTAAGTAACATAAAACGATGAGATAACACAATCAAAATGTATAAAGGCCATTCTTACATTTTCAATGCACATTTTTTGAAAAAGTTTTTAATTATAACAGCTTAAATTTTCAGACTTTATTAGGGTTAAAATGGATACATATTAATATGTATTGTATTTATTAGTACTATTTCATCAGTAGAAAATAAGACATAATTAATTTGGTAGAAATTAAATCTGCTCTTAGCTCAATTGTGAAACGGGTCTCCTAGCAATAAGCATGAAAGATCGTTAGGTCCACTCCCATTGAATCATTGAATTGTTTTAGTCGAGCAAGGCACAGAATCTAATCAATAACTTACCAGTAAGTATAATCGATGAGCAAAACGGACGCAGAAATATGTGCCTATGCCTCAAAATGGAGGGGGGGTTTAATTCAGCTTTGTGCTTGATTTATACATCGAGATATAAAAAGTTTTTTTATATAAATGCCAGTGGATACGAGGAAACCTAGACAGTTCGAGACCTAACAGTCATGGCGTTTTGTCCTTAGCCTTATTCTGGAGTATTAGCGATGACTTCTTGTATGATGTCTTTGAACTGGTCTGTCTGGGGAATCTTCAAATTCTTTGGCCCGTAAAGGAGGAGATACGCGCAGTGCCAGTCACCTACCATCAGAAAGAAATACTTAGTTATACAAGTATTGTTAATCCTCGTACACTCCGGCCGCATTGTTGGAGTTTCTGTATGTATGTAAATAATAGCAAGCAAGTCTTCACATTTAGGATGTTCCACTCGCTCTCTCACACTCACTTCTATTTTCCAGAAAGGAAAACGATATCCTAGCATTTTGTGATTTATACATTTTAAATTAGTGTATATAGCGTATCTTTGTAAGTAAGTGGTATTTAATATCCTTCTGCCTCCAGAGCTCAGCCTTCATAAACAACCACCATACAACACACATCTGTAGGCCCACTTATACCTGATTTACAAAGTCCTTTTAACTATAGATCAATTGAAAATCGATTCCATAAACGACCATAATTTCTGAACACCACATCTTACGTCTAACACAGTTTATTAAGCCAAACTAACACACTTCTGTCGAATTTTTACTAAATGTCAATTTAACGTTTTTTTTTTTTTGTTTTGTTTATTTTTCGAGCGAAGAGAACATCTTTTAAAAACCAACATGTTTTAGAACCAAAGATTTGACATATGTTATCTACCTAGACGCATTAAGACAGCTGCAGCGTTGTGGATAACTTGTCCCAAAAGTGGGAACTATTGCAAGATTAATAATCTCTTTGCAATAAAATATCTTTATTATACAGTACCTCCTCCACTCAGTTTGAGCACCTCTTCTTCTGTCACAGGCGTGACTGTGTCATCGTCGTATCTTAGCCAATTGTCATCCCGCTTGACCCACGCCACGTAGTGGCCCGACGACGAGGATCGACCGCGGTGGGTTAATACGGCTCGGAGTCGGTAGTAGCCGCTGTTGTTGCAGCCTAAATCTGGAATAACATAGATTGTTTAAAACACTTTTAACAGTTTAAAACAGGAAATATTCATAAAACCTGACACGACGTTTAAATTAAAAATTTATTATACAATATATTTCGTGTATTAAATGTATGTGTACTACTTGAGTAGACTACAGAAAATACACAAATGTTACCAAATCTTCTTGACGCTCATTCATTGAAACATGGTAGCACAGTCCGATCGAAACAGTCTGTTGTTTCATTGGGATTCGAACCCAGGACTTTTAGTTACATCAATTCAGAGCCGCTACAAATACAAATAAGTAGCATAATTTAGCCAAAAACAACTCACCATTCGGAAACGAATGCCCTACACTGGTATAACTAATATCTTTGTCTTTTACATTTTTATTGTCGCCTTGGTTGTTGTCCCGAGTGGATAGTGACGACTTCACACAGGCATCTTCGTACTTCTGAGAAGCAAGGGCATATATGTTCATAATTATTATTCATAAAATATTGAAATGAAATTGATAAAATTTGTTATATTTATGTCAGAAGAGAGTTTGAGTTCACTTGATAAAAGTTTAAAATGATGCGGTGTCAAACCTATGTTAGCGTTGGATATTCGGAAATCGACAGACAGAAACCACACGAAATCCACAGGTTTTAATTCTGTAGACTTTCGATATTCCTAACATGTTTCAAAAAATGTATGAATTGTGGTGGGTCAATTTCTGGTGGGAATCGGATCTACAACCCATTGATTATTAAACAACATAGACCAACAAGTCCGATAGCGGTGCTTGTTGATAAATGTTGTCTACATATATAAAGTTTATCCACGCATTACTCATTACATAGTATTCCAATTTTAAAAATCAATCTTGATCAAAATTAAAGAAATTCATTTTTAATACAAAATAAATAGCGGAGAATCTATTGATGTTACTGAATACTAGTAAATTTGGGTGCCATTAATTCAATTACTTCTTACCTTAAAATTAGTCCGCATGGGCATCAGTCGCTCCTGAAGTTCCGGAGAGCAGAGGTCATAGACGTCTAGTTCCAGTGGAAATTTTACGTCTTTTAATATCTTCGCATTTATCGATTCCTTCTCCTTGTAATAGAACCGTACAAACTGAATGGTCAAGTACGAGGGGAGGCGGCTTATTTTGCTCTGAAAACAATTTATTTTTGATTAGTTTAAGTTTTTCGTTATTTACTATGTTTTTTTATGAGAAAAAAAGAAAGACAAGCACGGGGTTTACTTGACGGTAGGTAGAATACCCCAGCCATATATTTAAATAAAAAAAAATCTAACTAGTACACTTATGAACGTCACATCAGTTAAAAACTAAAGCTTCTCTACATTTACATTTACTAAGATTACGGAAAAATTATATTTCATTTGAAAAATGTTGGACTCGATGGTGATCGAACCATACCAACCTGTCATGTTATTGATAAAATAAGACACATATCTACTATAGTTTTTAAACTAGGCCGTCGTGATGAAGAAATTGTTTAGGGCTTTGCGTCACAAATCACAGCTGAAAAGCTCGATAACAATTTGCTTTCAAAATGACCACAAAAACCTTATACAATTATAAAGCACATATATCATAGTGATTATTTTATTGCTATTTACAATGTGTTTCAAGGCTTTTCCATCAAAGGACAGACCTATTGATAGGGGTAACAAGTTTTTAATTAAGTGGAGTGATATAGAAATATTTTGGTGAGAATGGAACCCGTAACATTGATTTCCATCATTGGCCATCTACTATTGTACCAAGGAGCCCGAGAAAATAAAATACCAAAAGAATAAAACTTATATTATCCCTTGGTTATTAATGGCAAATAGAAATAACTAAAAAGAAAAAGTTTCCACAATTCTACTCACCGTTTTTGTATACACAGCATCTCTCCCCAATGTTTCAGACATCTTAGTGATTTGTTCAGTCATTTTCTGAAAACCAACATTTCACTTAGATAATAAACTTAAACGACTCTTAAAATCAGTATTAAATATCACGTCAATTCACAAAACATGTTTATGTTGTATATTTTTATCAAATTAAAGTAAAATGTAAGAAAGGGTTTATTTGACATTACGTCTAAATTTGGGAATAATAAAAAAAAATTACATTGTTAAATTGCCTAATTTCAAAATTTGTATGTGAAATCCAAACGGGCATTGTAATGAATCTGATTTACGAATATTTCGTACTCACATAGGGAAACAGGATTTCAAAATAACATCCTTTAGTCCAAATATACAAAAATTTACTTACGGATCTTAGGCCAGACTGCAAGTACTTAACGTCTTGCGAAATAAAACATGAAAGCTGCAAGAAAGACTCCGAGGATTTTGTAGGCGGTTCTTCCGCTTCACTGCACACCAATTCCACATCCAAAGAACCGCCAAAGAATTGATCAATTAAGTTTGATCTAAAAGAAGACAAACAGACTTATGATTCACATTTTGGATGTTAAAATAGAGAAGGAAATTTAAGAAGCTTCAAGCCAAATATACCTTTACATTACTACTAAATATACTTTTAAAACTACTTACACCATATGTTTTTTATTTTCTATTTATGTATGTCTTTTTACATTAACATTTTAAAGTCTATACTTTATATTTGCAGTTTTTTTTTGTAGTTTTATCAAATTTTTTGAAATACTTGTAGCTTACAATACTAAAAGTGAATGTATCTTTGATAAGTAAGATTTCTCAAAATCGGCACAGGAGTTTTTTTTTTGGTTCAATCCAATGCACAAACCCAAAAGATTTATAACTCATTATATTTTTTTGCAAAAACTAGGGATATTTTAACTTGGGTCAGATTGGGTTAAAAAAATCAAACTTGAAACTTACTGTTTCCCATGGTACTCTTTGCTTAGCCTCATCCGAAGTGCTCTAATAATTTCAGTCCAGCACTCCGAGGCATCTTGTTGTGCAAGCTGGCCACCAGCACCTCTTTCCGCCAGTCTTGGTGCAGCCGCGTGAAGCGCTGGAAGAAGTCTCGCTGCCGCAGCCGCACAAGCTCCAGCGCCACCACCTTCTAAAGCCTTAAATGTGTCGCTAAGAGCTGTAACTAAGTTACCAGCGGCTCCACTACTAGGTTCTGCAAGTTATAAAAAACTAATGTTATTAGAGTGTTATTTTCCATACAAAGCATAAAGGCCTTGTTGTAACCATTTTAAATAGCAAGTGGTTTTGAATTTAAATTTTCCAAGGCTTACTAGACATAAGATTGTGGTAATCATTCACAAAACATTTAAAAAGTACTCATCATCAATTTCATTTCAATATGTATAAAAAAAAATCTATAAACCTTGAATTAAAAAAAAAGATATATTTTTTTAATTCATGGTTTATTATTTTCACATGCTGCTTTTTTGATGACATGTGCAGAAGTTGTTCTACATAAGACTGACCTATGCTAAAAGTTTATTCGTTCTGGGATTATATAACGTGATGTGATATTAGGAAAAAAATGCATACCATGCTTATACTGAACCAAAGCATTTTTGAGTTCTGGACAAGTCCTCAGGCATTGTATTGTTGCATTCATATAGCAGGTGTTTCCTAAATTAATTAAACCTTCCGGGATATCCAGCTGTAAAAAATATAAAAATAATTAAAGTGCATTACTCAAATATAACTGAATGCATTAAGCAAGGGTTAGAGTCCCAGGAAAACACAGTACAATTTATTTTCGATTTTTAAATTATAAAGTGCCTTCATGTGCAATACTGTGAAAAATATTAATGTTTTCAAAACACAGTACAGTATTTTGGTTGGGTAGAATATATGTGTACATAAAAAAAAAATTATGCCCCCTCAATGTCATTATTACATTGGTGTACTGCAAGGCAAGACCGACGATCGCTACTCCCACATAACAAGTACCTAGGAGAAACAAGAGGAGTGTACACGGCTCTATTGTATTTACTTACAGCTGATGCAAGCTCCGATTCATTCATATCCTCCACAAATTTTGTTTTCTCAACTGGTGCAGCTGGAAGGTCCTCATCTTTGCTTCCCATCACTAGTACCATTGCATTCTAGAATAATTAAAACACTACAATTAAAAAGTAAAGGTTTTTTCAGTTATGAAAAATATATATAAAATAAAAATCAACTTACATTACTTAATTTAAAATTGGCCCACAAATCATCTCTTAAAGTGACACCTTTGCAGACTACTTTTTGCCGTTCGGGCTGTACTCCAGTTAGGGCAAAGATTTGTGCCTTAAAGACAACTGGCTCTTCATCTGTGTTTACCTCCACGTCGGGAAACATTTCCTTGCCCCATTTGACTTTTACTAGAAACACAGTTATTTAATAAAAACTAATACTCCAAAGAGAGTTGTAAAGCAAATAAAAATTATATGCACTGACTTGTGTAGATAAAAACAGGAAACCTTAACACCAGGTCTATTTATGTTACCCTAATATTATATATATTGCAGGCACATCAAGCTAGACAGCTGGTGTAAAGTGCAATGTCTTGTAAGATAACAGTGTTTGATATAAGTGTTTTACACTATACCAGCAGCGCCTTATATTTTACAGTTATTAATTAAAAGCTGGATATAACATTTTTATTTATTTTGCCTAGTATTATGTTACTTTTATATTTAAAGGGCATTAATTTTGCAACAAGCCGGTGATTTACGTGCGGCATTTGGGAAGTCATCCTTGACATCGATATTAAACCTCTATGATAGTTTCTGTACAAGTAAATGATGATAAGCATATAATTATATGACACCTATGTATCACTAAATGTACTCAAAATGATGAAAAATCGTATTACTAAGTTGTTTTCAATAAATCCTCTAAGAAACATCGTTATAACCTAAATACCTATAAAATGAGTAAGCAAATTTAACACATATGTTTAAACAAATGTACTTACCGGAAACCTTAGGCATTTTGTAAAATTCTTGAGCAGTTTTCTTTTGATTTTGAGATATGTTCAACAGTCAACAAAAACTGAGCTAAGTCTTAACTTTTAATAACTGAAAGTCACGATACAATTACAAAAATCCGTTTTCGTTGATTTAGTTGACAATTGACATTGATAATGACGAATTGAATTGAGATTTGACAGCAGCAGAGACCTTTTATACTTTCCTGCATCTGTGCTAACATAGACAATACAAAAAGACTTTATACCACGTTAGACATTTGTAGCGAGTTAGTAGTTTTAGACTTGCTTTAGGCCAACTTTAGAATTATGTAGGCGTAGTGAGAACAGGCCTCATCTATTTTGTTTATTTTTTTCATCATAAAAAACAATGTGCAGTTTCACATTTGTACAAAAGTATGAAATATTTAACAATTGTGTAGATTTTAGTATTACTCTCGATAAGACGGCTTTTCCCATGAATGAAATTCTGTTCAGAAAAATAGTTCATTCATAACATCATTTTTGTGACCGCTTGACGTTCCTTACTTCTGTAGCACAATCATTATAAAAGGGATTGGATTGATCATAAAAGACTATGAACAAAAATATATTAGTACCTCAACTTTTTATTTATATCTATTTACAATAAACTTTTATAACGAGGGTTTTAGAAAAAAAAAACTATTTATCTGACAGTTTAAACTGTTGTAAATTAATTAATAATAATCAGAAACCCCTTCAAATGAAAAAATCTAATTCAAATCAAAATTATGGGTTCTGTTTTATTATATTTCGTTTTATCTAAAAACGCGTCGTTCTTAAATAATGCTGTAAATCGCAACGAGTGAGCAAGTGGACGTCTTTCTATATTAATTAGTTCAAAAGCCTTACAGCCACAGATGAGGCTGTCTCGTTCGATGAACTTTCACGGCGTACAAGGCGGCCCGCGGGTGCGCGCGCGCCGTATGCCCGCGGGCCGCGACCGTCAGCCAATTGCCGTCACATTCACACGGACGTAGACGCCAGTTCCAACGTTAACGTCAAACTTTTTGAACGTGTGTTATAATGTTATGCATCGGAATTAGTTAAGCAAACAGTGTGTGTATAGTGTAAAAGGAATTACGGAATACATTTGAAAGGAATGGTGCAACGGTGCCAGATATTTATGTGAGTTTTTCGCTAAATTGTAAATTCTACTACTATGCATTTTTTAATAGAAACTAATGATCAAGAGCAGCTGCTTTATGATTTTTTTTTATTAGAATTTTATTTATAATTAATATGATTTGATTAAAGAAGTACTAGGATGGTAATACAATGAAAATTATGCCCCAACAAGTTAAACTTATTACATAGAGATGCGCGTTGAACTCTTTTGCAAACAATTTTCTATTCCGACATCGAACTAACAGAATTAAGTAATAAAGTTACAATTTATTCTACGGCTTATTTAAAATATTACACGATAATTAGAATTGGAATTCTAATTACGTTATATATAATGACGAATAGATATTATAGTCTCTTAGTGCTCTTAATTCATCTAACGTAATTAGAAGTAATTACTAGTTTCAATGCGAACCCGATTGTACTTTTTCCACAGCCATCGCATTCGAGAAGATGTAATTATGAACACAAGCTACAATTTTAGCGTTCGCGACCGAGTAATTATTATTTTTTACGATATACACTACCAGAAGGCTCAGTATAACATTTCAACTGCGAGCTGTAAAATAGTAGATGATAAAGTTATTTTGTTATATGGCATACTAGCTGTGTCAGCGTCTCGTCGGCCATAAAAATTAGTTTTTGCAAACCTCGTCCTCATCTTTATAAAATATAGCTGTTAACCACGCGTCCCGTCGTTCTTGCAAGTTAATCTGTAACGATAAACATATACTCTCTCAGACATTTTTTAAATCATGTAAAGAGGAATACATATATCTTAGTATTCACACATATATAACAATATCTTAAACCGTTTTCGCAGCGCACGCAATGGGAACACTGAAAGATTACTATTTTGGCACGTTTTTCCACATTTCCCACCAGTTTCTTTGCTCTTACTGGCCGCATGGTTTTTTTTAGCATAAAGAATTTTTCAAGTCAAACCTGTAATTCCTGAGATTAGCGTGTTCAAACAAACTCTTCAGCTTTATGTATTAGTATAGATTATATTGATAAACTACATATGTTTATCAATATAATCTATACTAATATAAAAGGAATACTTTAAAATTTCCAAGAACATAATGGACTTAACACAAGCATTGACGTTATTTTTTCTCAGTAATCTTCTTGTATCGTTGCGTGAAGGATAAGTAACATATGGAGTGACAAGAATATTAAGTAATGTAGTAGGTATATCGACAAGGTACGGTCGAAGGTTACTTCAAATAATTGGTTTTAAATAATGTCTGTAGTTTACGCGAGTAGTACACATATAAATAAAACACTTTAACGGTTTAAAACGCGATATATTAGTTAAACTTATTTGAAAATGATTTTTAACTTCAGCCCGACGTTTTGGATGCTTTGCAGCAGCCATGGTCACGGGGAGACTGACTTTTTAACGTCGGGCCGAAGTAAAAAATCATTTTCAAATAAGTTTAACTAATATATCGCGTTTTAAACCGTTAAAGCGTTTTATTTAAATAATTCAAATAAGTTTAACTAATATATTTTGCGTTTTAAACCGTTACAGTGTTATATGTAAATAGTATATATCACGTTTTCAATCGTTATAAGTGTTATTGATATTTAGTATTGGAGTCATGTATTTGCAAGCTCGGTCGCAAATCGTTATTGTGGTAGTGTGAAGAATGTGTAATGATCGCGGGACGCTCGGTTTTACCTGCGCTAATGTTCGACGTCTATAATCTACAACTGTGTAATAGGAACATTCCTTTGACGGCTTGTATAAATTACACGAGATGACTTTGGTTTTTATTCACAAGGTGCGACTGCTAACTTTCTTAGTGTTTTATTGAAGGATTATAGTGTTATTTACATATTTAGTGAAAGTTATAACCTAGATTTTCAACTAATTTCTTTTTTGACACTAAACTAAGAAATATGTTTTAATTTCCGCCAGACAGGATGATTGTTAAACATGTATAAATGAATGAAAAACGAGAACATTTTAATGTGTGCCTTACTTCATCCTTACTAATATTATAAATGCGAAAGTAACTCTGTCTGTCTGTTACTCTTTCACGCCAAAACTACTGAACGGATTTGAATAAAATTTGGTATGCAGATGGTCTAGACCCTGAGAAACAACACAGGCAACACACTTTTTATATAAAAAAGGGGTTGTAAGGGGTTAAAAGGAGGGAGTGAATATTTGTATGGAAATTCGTGGTTTTTGAAGCTAGAACAATGAAACTTTCTTCTTTGGATTTTTGGGAAAAGGCGTGGGAGTGGGGCGGGAATAGGCATGGAAGTGGGAGTTGGAGTGGGAGTGAGTGTTGCGGCAAAGTAGCACTTACAACATAGATTGGCTGCGATAAATGCTCAATTACATAAATTAATAAACAGCCTAAATAATTCAAAGTTCTACCCCAAGTCACTATTCCACACGAACGAAGTCGCGGGCACTGCTAGTAAGTATATAAATGCATATTAAACCCATTTCACTGATTAAGGGGTTAAGGTTCGAATCCTAGAGAAACGACGAATACATATACATACAAGACATTTACTTCACAACTAAATCACCGCATAGCAAAAACAGTATGTCAATATATATACAAACTATTTATTAATAGTTATTATAGTATTCATTTGATAAACATTGCTAAAAGGTATATTATAGAAACGATATTTGTATTTTTGAGAAAAGGTTTATCATTCATTTTCGTTTCACTTTTAACGGTTTAAAACACGATATGTATTAGTTAATTTACTGTACTCTCATTCGTTACGTTTCCGTTGCGGAATTAAGCAAAACGCACGAATTCTTATTTAACACAAAACTGTTATTGTCGGATACTTTCTCACTTATTAAGAGACGTACGCGCCGATTGCGACCACTTTTTGTCGTATTACTCGGAATCTATTATTGAAAGGTGAAACATGTCGTGAGAGTAAAGTTAATTAATTTATAGCGAGATATAGCATCTTCGAAAGCTTTGCTAACCAATAAGGTTTATTGGGGCAACTATGAATAGAAATGTTTTTAACTAATATATTATCTAGATGCAACGAACGAGACAGACGAGCGAAGATAGATTCAGAGATATCTCTCTTGCAAACAACTTTAACGTGCGAAAGCGACAAACAGTGATAGTTATAGAATGATACTATACGCTCTCTGCGTTTATAGGAGACCCCAGTTTTAGCAAAATTTTTACTCTAATATGTACTTTATCTGGTATCTCTTGCCTTAAACCCTTCAACAATGACCCGACACTTCAGGTGGTTCACAGCAGCGGTAATTGGAGACTAGACGTGGTGACGGAAGACACTAGCACCATCTGTTGTCTCTAAATTGGTATTTATAAGGTCACGACTATAGTACGCCTTTATAGGCTTAAAAATATTTTATTTGACTTATTATCTTATGAATTCTGATTTAATATTTTAAACATATGTGGCTCGTCAGTGATTGTTATTCGCTATTTGCAGTTTCTTAAACTCGGCATACATAAGTTAATTTTCAAGAATATTAAAACAATGATGGCCTTATTATATTGACTTTGACTTATTTGTTGCCAAGAGAAAATTCCCCTTCGTTTTATCAATATCATTTAAGTACAAACAAATAATTCATCAAAAATATAATGGGACATAAAATTGTATATCATTAAAAAATCTTTCCTACCATAATTCGGAGAACTTGATAATTTTTGTTGTCAAACTGGTTTCATTACTTGTGTCCTTACTTATTTAGCGAAAACATTAAAATTATATTAAGGTAGCGTCGAAAAACCGGGTTAAGCACGCTATAACATTTTATCTGAAGACAAATAATCTTTATTTCTGCGCGTTTTATATGAAAACTTTAAATTAAATTTGGAA